TCTTCTAACTAAACTTCTTTAACTAACTTCTTCTAACTAACTTCTTCTAACTTCTTCTAACTAACTTCTTCTAACTTCTTCTAACTAGCTTCTTCTAACTTCTTCTAACTAACTTCTTCTAACTTCTTCTAACTTCTTCTAACTAACTTTTATTAACTTCTTCTAACTTCTTCTAACTAACTTCTTCTAACTTCTTTTAACTAACTTCTTTTAACTTCTTCTAACTTCTTCTAACTTCTTCTAACTAACTTCTTCTAACTTCTTCTAACTTTTTCTAACTTCTTCTAACTCACTTCTTCTAACTTCTTTTAACTAACTTCTTTTAACTTCTTCTAACTTCTTCTAACTAACCTCTTCTAACTAACTTCTTCTAACTTCTTCTAACTTCTTTTAACTTCTTCTAACTAACTTCTTCTAACTTCTTCTAACTTCCTCTAACTAACTTCTTCTAACTTCATCTAACTTTTTCTAACTAACTTCTTCTAACTTCTTCTAACTAACTTCTTCTAACTTCTTCTAACTAACTTCTTCTAACTTCTTCTAACTAAATTCTTCTAACTTCTTCTAACTAACTTCTTCTAACTTCTTTTAACTAACTTCGTCTAACTTCTTCTATCTAACTTCTTCTAACTTCTTCTAACTAACTTCTTCTAACTTCTTCTAACTAACTTCTTCTAACTTCTTCTAACTAACTTCTTCTAACTTCTTCTAACTAACTTCTTCTAACTTCTTCTAACTAACTTCTTTTAACTTCTTCTAACTTCTTCTAACTAACTTCTTTTTACTTCTTCTAACTCCTTCTAGCTTCTTCTAACTAACTTCTTCTAACTTCATCTAACTTCTTCTAACTAACTTCTTCTAACTTCATCTAACTTCTTCTAACTTCTTCTAACTTCTTCTAACCTCTTCTAACTAACTTCTTCTAACTTCATCTAACTTCTTCTAACTAACTTCTTCTAACTTCTTCTAACTAACTTCTTCTAACTTCTTCTAACTAACTTCTTCTAACTTCTAACTTCTAACCAACTATTAACTTCTAACTAACTTCTAACTTCTAACTAACTTCTAACTTCTAACTAACTTCTAACTAACTTCTAACTTCTAACTAACTTCTAACTTCTAACTAACTTCTAACTTCTAACTAACTTCTAACTTCTAACTAACTTCTAACTTGTAACTTCTAACTAACTTCTAACTAACTTCTAACTAACTTCTAACTTCTAACTAACTTCTAACTAACTTCTAACTAACTTCTAACTTCTAACTAACTTCTAACTTGTAACTTCTAACTAACTTCTAACTAACTTCTAACTAACTTCTAACTTCTAACTAACTTCTAACTAACTTCTAACTAACTTCTAACTAACTTCTAACTTCTAACTAACTTCTAACTTCTAACTAACTTCTAACTAACTTCTAACTAACTTCTAAATTCTAACTAACTTCTAACTTCTAACTAACTTCTAACTTCTAACTAACTTCTAACTTCTAACTAACTTCTAACTAACTTCTAACTTCTAACTAACTTCTAACTAACTTCTAACTTCTAACTAACTTCTAACTAACTTCTAACTTCTAACTAACTTCTAACTTGTAACTTCTAACTAACTTCTAACTAACTTCTAACTAACTTCTAACTAACTTTTAACTTGTAACTTCTAACTTTTAACTTCTAACTAACTTCTAACTAACTTCTAACTAACTTCTAACTAACTTCTAACTTGTAACTTCTAACTAACTTCTAACTTGTAACTTCTAACTAACTTCTAACTAACTTCGAACTAACTTCTAACTTGTAACTTCTAACTAACTTCTAACTAACTTCTAACTAACTTCTAACTTTTAACTTCTAACTAACTTCTAACTAACTTCTAACTAACTTCTAACTAACTTCTAACTAACTTCTAACTTGTAACTTCTAACTAACTTCTAACTAACTTCTAACTAACTTCTAACTTGTAACTTCTAACTAACTTCTAACTTGTAACTTCTAACTAACTTCTAACTAACTTCTAACTAACTTCTAACTTGTAACTTCTAACTAACTTCTAACTTGTAACTTCTAACTAACTTCTAACTAACTTCTAACTAACTTTTAACTTCTAACTTCTAACTTTTAACTTCTAACTTCTAACTTCTAACTTCTATCTTCTAACTTCTAACTTCTAACTTCTAACTTCTAATTTCTAACTTCTAATTTCTAACTTCTAACTTCTAATTTCTAACTTCTAACTTCTAACTTCTAATTTCTAACTTCTAACTTCTAACTTCTAACTTTCAACTTCTAACTTTCAACTTCTATCTTCTAACTTCTAACTTCTAACTTCCAACTTCCAACTTCTAACTTCCAACTTCCAACTTCTAACTTCCAACTTCTAGCTTCTAGCTTCTAGCTTCTAACTTCTAACTTGTACTTTCTACTTTCTACTTTCTACTTTCTACTTTCTACTTTCCACTTTCCACTTTCTACTTTCTATTTTCTACTTTCTACTTCTTCTTCTTCTTTTCTTCTTCTTCTTCTTCTTCTTCTTCTTCTTCTTCTTCTTCTTCTTCTTCTTCTTCTTCTTCTTCTTCTTCTTCTTCTTCTTCTTCTTTTTCTTCTTCTTCTTCTTCTTTTTTCACCAGCTGTTAGCTTCGGTGAAAAGTTATAATTATTCTCGAACTTTTGGCCTTGTGTCAGGGCCTGAGTTTTGCGTGTATATTCGTTTTACTTGATTATAGCCTATGTGTGCAGATTGTTAGCGGTTGCCACTTTGGCAGATGCACTTCAAAGGAAACTCCCAGTTAGTCGACTCCTACGACATGCTTGTTGCAGAGCAGGGAGTCTATTCTTGTTCCCCAACACTTAGGCCCCCGGAACCCACACAGGAAGAAACATGTACTCATGAACAAACTAATATTATTCCCACTTCTAAAATCCACCTCTAATTTTTTAAAGAAGTATGCCTGGATTAAGACTTTTTCTTTCTTTTTTTTTTTTAAGTATCAAAGTGCGCGCGCGCACGCACACACACACACACACACACACACACACACACACACACACACACACACACACACACAGACACATATACATATATAAAGTAAAGTAACAGTCCCTTTTCTCACGCATTTAGGGGTATTGGGAATATAGGGCTAGACATATATATTATAGAACAAACGGTACTTGGTGGGTGATGTGGTCAGCATCACGCCGGCCGCCTTGACTTCCCAGGATTGCACCTGGTACCCATTCAAAGCTGGGTCGACCTGGGAGCAGAAGTCATTTTTTTAAAAAAAAGTCCGGCTTGGTCAGGACCCGAACCCACGACCTTTCGATCCGTAGGCGAGCGTCTAGCCGCTACACCACAGCGGCTATCACTGTAAAAATGTATTAAAGGAAAATTGCATTTGCGTAAAACTAGGAGTTGTTAGGTCCCTGCATATTGTGAGGCCCTAAGCCTATAGCTTGTATTGCCCACACTTAATAAATCCAGCACTGAGTAGAGGTTATTGTCCACCCTTGGTCATCTGCTGCGAAGGGACTTCAAATGAAAACCTTTAAAGTGTGATAAAAAGTACAACCTATGGATCATGCTGATTTTATTAATGTCCTCCGAGAAATAGGAAGGGTGAGGGAAATTGCGGACAGTGAATTCAGGTCATTTCTTCAGCGTTCCGAGCACTTTAGGTTCACTTTTGCAGATATCACCCGCCTCGACTCATCTCTCTGGTTGGTCTTTTCTTTCCAGTTGGTGACACCAAGTGTTTGCAGGTCTGTCTGGACGTTATCTCTCCGTCGTCTTAGTCTGCTTCGTGGTCTACGACCACTCAGCTTCCTTGTGAAATCGAGAGTTAGACACTCACCAGAGACATCAGAAGACTTGTTAATCAATATAGAACTGGTACTGTTAGCCATCGGACGCTGCGGTTGATACTGTGAGGAGGATCTGAGCATCTATGGACATGTCCTGGGTGCAATGATGATAACCCAACTTACTAAGTAATGAATTACAATAACTTAGGTTTCACACATTCATTGATTTTTTTTTAAACGGATAACAGGGCGCTGATCCTCTTTGTTGCATGTCAAAAGGGAAGTATCTATCCTTAAACTATCATTATGACGTCAAAGCGTTCGTCTGCACCGTGATGTCAAGTGCTTAACACTCTTAACGTCCTTGACAACAATACAAAGTTACAAAGTCAGTAGCATGGTTAGTGTGAATTCTGTTATACTCGTACCTTAAGGATTTCGTTTGAAGCCCCTCGTAGGGAATCTTCAGGAACTGAAAGAGGCTACTTACAGCACTATCCATGTGTCTACTTCCTACAGGGCATCTCTCTGGTTCTCTGTAACCTACCGGAGATGCAAAATCCACCTGTAGGGTTTGAAAGGAAACAAAAATATTACTACAACCTGGAAACTATGCATATTTACATGTCATACATCTTAAACTGAAGTCACTGAGGTTATAACTCTTTCGATATCATGCAGCTTATCATACGCAGATTGGTTAATCTGAAAAAAAAAAAAAACAGTACACGGTCCTACATCGTTGACAGTTGACAACAATAACTAGTGACCGCGTTAGCGCGGTCGATAGGAGGCTCGCTTTCAAATCAAGCTGCGACGTGCTGCAGCCTACGGTCGGTGTTCGAAACCGGGCGGCTCCTGGAGTTCAACCAGTCTCTAGGAAATGGCTACCAGAGTTGATACTCTGGGGTAAATAGAGGAACCTCGCTGTAACTACAGAGTTACGTGCGAACGGCGACACAGGCGGACAGTTTTTATCAGCTGTCCGTACTGGTAACAGAGCACTTATGGTTTATAACCGTGTGCAATGACGCTGGTTGACATCTCCCGACTTTACCTTTACCTTTACAAATTACATCCGAATTGTTAGTTTCTCCCCTCATTAGTATTTTTTTTTTTTCAACTTCTGTTGACTCCATTACTGGATGCTTTATGCTAGAACTTCTCGCAACTGAAGGAATTAAATGAATCATACACTTGTCCTGATACAGTTAAAATTGTCAATGTTTCGTATTTGCCAGTGGTGAGGCATCCATGTAACGGTGTAGTCGCCGCTCACACTTCCGATTACAAATAAAAAGGGGCATTATTTTGATCGTTACGGTTTACTATTTACTACAAATACACCACTAGCCGAGGATGTGAAGTTTGTTAACAGCGTTAACATAGCACAAAGAACGTTTACTTCATAACATGCCACACATGCAAAAAATATCACGCGTGAGAACTACCGGTTATTAAAAATACGATGCTAGCTGCGCACGCAAACTCTCAACAGCGAAGCGACCAGAAGGAAAAATTACAGTGATACCTTCGCCAGTGTATTTTTATCTGCTAACGTTTCTTCTTTTTAAAGTCAACGCCGTATGGCGTTGGTAGTCATGTATATCCACAACCCTCTGTCTCGTGTACTTTCAGTAAACTCTGTCACAGATGATCCTTCAAGCCATAAAGTCAAACTGTCCATCATCTTTACTCTTGGTCTCCCCCTGCCTCTCCTCCCCTCCAACTTTTCTACCGTCATGATGTACTCCTGTTTTCTCCTTCTCATTACATGACTAATAAATGCAAATTATCTCTTTCTGATGTGGGCAATCAGTTCTCTTCGTGAGTCAGTTTCATTTAAGACGTTAGCTACATGCTAACGATGAATAAATTAACATGTCTCTGCTAAATCACAAATGTAACTTACCATCATATCACATTCAATGATAGAAACGGCTCGTCCTGGTTTATTTTCCAAAACACACAGTTCATACTCCTAAGTAAATTTATGTATATTTTATCAGATTACATTATTAACAATAGAATCTAATGATAACATTTTCTAACAAATGAAACATAATGTGAAAGGATGTGTCAACGGGAAACTGGGTGTGAATCTAGCAAGGACGGAAGTATGAGGGGAAAGAGAACAACGTGTGTATAATCAATGTTAGGGAAACAATTAGCGTCTACACGGTAAGACATTTGCTGGGAGAGACGGAGCATTTCTGAGTATGCCCGGTGTAGTTTGATGTCAATTTTTTAAATAAGTAACGCATTCTTTATCGGCAAAATGTCCTAAATGCACTGAGTACCCCACACATCATATAGTTTTCTACACACACACACTCTCTCTCTCTCTCTCTCTCTCTCTCTCTCTCTCTCTGTGTGTGTGTGTGTGTTCCAGACATTCGTCATTATCATGGGCCCGTATCTCTGCGTGTCGTTAGGTCAAAAGTTGTTGTTGGTTGTCTGATCAGCTCCATTCACAAGTGACGGTGGGTTGCAGTGAACTTCATGAAGAATGCCTGTCCAGTCAGTCAAGTTCTGTATCCAGGTCTTTCTTGGCCTGCCTCTTATCCTTTCCCCCTCTACTGAGCCCTGTATTATATATATATATATATATATATATATACACAGAGAGAGAGAGAGAGAGAGAGAGAGAGAGAGAGAGAGAGAGAGAGAGAGAGAGAGAGAGAGAGAGAGAGAGAGAGAGAGAGAGAGAGAGAGAGAGAGAGAGAGAGAGAGAGAGAGAGAGAGAGAGAGAGAGAGAGAGAGAGAGAGAGAGAGAGAGAGAGAGAGAGAGAGAGAGAGAGAGAGAGAGAGAGAGAGAGAGGAAATCATTAGATCTTATTATCTTATCACATGTCTCCATGGCTGATAATAAGATTAAAGGTAGGTCCGTGTGTGTGTGTGTGTGTGTGTGTGTGTGTGTGTGTGTGTGTGCGTGCGTGCGTGCGTGCGTGCTCTACTTCACTGGCTACTTAATCTCAGAGAGTTGTTCGGGGCGCTGAGTGATTTCGAGATATGGTGTCCGTCTCGAGTACTAGGGGTCCCGGGTTCAAGCTCCGGTGAAGGCTAGGATTTTTTCACAAGGACTTCTAGTAATTTCCCCTGGTCTCTGGGTAGTAAGAACAGACGCCCGTGTGAATTGTTGCGCACATTACAAAAAAAGTCCTTTGGCAGTTGCAAATCGAAACGAGTAGCCACTCTCAGGCTTGAGTTATAAGTAGAACGGAGAGTTTATGGGTTACACCCGTGTGCCATGATGTTGATCCGTTGAATGTTGAAACATGAAATATTTCTCAGAGTAAAGTCAGCAGCGCATCGATCTGTACGTAAAATACTTTTATTTCTGAAGCAACAGTATTAAACTTAAACAGGAAACAATTCCATCATTTTTACCTTATCGTTATACTTGATTGCTACAACATCTCCCTGTGTGAGACAGGCAAAACTCCTTAAAGCATTCTCCAGTCTAGCTTTTTTAAGGAATGATGTTTTTTATTTTATATTATATACTGTTTGGTAATTGTCCGTTTTATCTTCACAATTAAAAGGAGGATGGCCATAGCAATGCAAAGATTGAACAGCCTTAAAAGTCTATGGCTAAGCGCCATCAAGGGGATCAAAATTAGAATTTTGAGAGCATGCATCTTCCCTGTGGCTACACACGGATGTAAGTCGTGGACTATCTCTCAGTCCTTAAGAAGGAGAATAGGAGCTTTTGAGCTGAAATGCTATAGAAAGATTCTCAGAATATCTTCGACCAAAAAAAAAAAGAGAAGTACTGATATCTTGAAAGATCTGAACATCAAGGAAGATTGGCTAATACACAGCATCCTGTCTCGGAAGCTGAAATATTTTGGTAATATCAAGCGCCACGGCGGATTTTTCAAAAAAAAAAAAAAAAAAAAAAAAAAAAAAAAAAAAAAAAGCAGAAGGCATGGTACCAGGAAGGAGGGGCAGGGGCCGACTGACACGAAGATAGGCACAGGATATAAGTGACTCCTTGAGTATGAAAGTACATGAGGTGGGAGAACTGGTAAGAGACCGAGTTTCTTTCAGGCAGACTGTGATGAGAGCGACGTTCTGCAAAGGACCTGCTACATGATAATGATGATGATCTTCCCATTAAAACTTTGTTAACACAAAATGTTTGAGGAAAAATCCTAGTTAACATCAACAAAATTTGTTAACACAAAATGTTTGAGGAAAACTCCTAGTTAACATCAACAAAGTTTGTTGATGTATTATTATTACTCATAGCATCATCCCCATGTGGGATGCAATTTTTTATTTTCCTGAAGCCCCACCCTGGCTTTTATCGGGGGCCCTAAATATAACCGGGCCTTAAATATGGCCTAACGGTTGAACAGGGTGTCCGGGACCTCCACGGGTGATCCCCATCCGCATGGTGGCACTTTGTGTCACCTGGTATTTATCGCTTGTGTGATGTCCTGGTGGGGTACAACTTACAAACCTTGATGTATTATTACTAGCTCCCATTTAGCACATATCTTTTTTTAAACACGAACTCGATTTTGGGTTCCCTTGGCCCATGTTAAAAAGATGTTACTGTATACCATTAGGAATGCCGCACAAGAAACATCTGGTAACCTAAAAGCACTAGCATGTCGTAGATGCATTTTCAGGGCTAAAATTAGTCACTTTACAATACGGCAAAGGCATACGTGTGAATCCTACTGCAAATATTTCTTCTTCTTCTTCTTTATCATCATCATCGTCTTCTTCTTCTTCTTCTTTTCTCCTTCGCATTCACCGGTTGTTAGCTCCAGCGGAATGTTCTGGTTGGTCATCTAAGTCTGGACTTGTTCCAGAACTTGACTTTTGCATGCACATGCGTTTTACAGATATGCTTATCCTAATGCTGACTGTTGGTTCCTCGCCTCTTAGGCAGATGCACTCTGACTTTTAAGGATATAGCATAATATATCCCTCGTCCCTATGTGGAACGCAAATTTTTTGTGTGTTTTTTTTTTCTAGTTGTAAAGCCTGTATCCGCTGTCGTCAGGGGCCCTAAATAGAACTCAACGGTTGAACAAGGTTTCTGGGACTTGTACCCGAGTGATTTTCATCCGAATGGTGGCACTTTGTGTCACCAGGTGTTTATGGTTCGTCATGCGGTCCTTCTTCTTCTTCTGCCTTTCTTTCCCCAAATGGAGCATAGGCCCTCAACCAACTCACACCAAGTCGTTCTGTCCTTCGCTATTACATGGAGCTCTCCCCATGTCCTCCCTATCTTTCTAACTTAATTCTCCAGCTCTTTTCTCCATGTGTTATTTTGCTTTCCTTTATTCCTATGCCGCTGTGGGTTTCAATACAAAGACATTCCAGTTATGCTGTTCTCCGGTTTTCTCAACGTGTATTCTATCCAACACCTGCGTCTTTTCCACTCTTGGGCCACTGGAGTCATGCGGACTTGGTGGGGTTGAAAGTCGGTCAGAAAGTCAGTCAGTCAGAATGTCAGTCAGCTAGTCAGGATCTAGCGATTGTAAAGGATACACAGCTTTAGGGTTGGTAATATCCAGAAAATCCACACTCTGTGGTTGGAATTTGGCGTACGTAGCCACAGCAAGTGAGACATTATCCACCTGCAGCAGGTCTCCTTGCTCCAAACACAAGTTGCGCATCATCTGTACACACAACATTCGACATGAATACAATATTATGGTTATAACTTGATAATATTTATCACCAAGTCTTTCCTTCTGGTGGTATGCATTAATTTCCTTCAAAATAGCTTTAACAGCTCTTGCATTGGGTCAGTCACAGCAGACGCTGTTCACAAACCAGGGGTACAACTCCATGGTCCCCATGGATTGGTGGTTGCTCTCTACTACTAGTAATAAAAGAAAATACTGATAATCTTAAGAAGTTAATAACTAGTGAAATTTATTGTTTTTGTCATGAAAAAGTTACTCTTTTAGTTATATAAACTGTTCCATAAGTAAAAAGTAAGTAAAGTAAATGACCATTTTCCACGCCTTTAGGCGTATAGGGCAAGACCTATATTTTTATAAACCATCGGCACAAGATGGGTGATGTGGTCAGCATCACACCGGCCGCCTCTACTTCCCGGGCCTGTACCCGGTACCCACTCAAGGCTGGGTCGATCTGGCAGCCAAGGTCATTTTTGAAAAAAGTCCGGCTACTCCAGGAAGCGAACCCACGACCTTCCGATCCGCGACTCCCGTTCCATAAGTACTAAACAATGAAATCGCAAAAGTAGATAGAATTTCAAATAGAAAAAAGAGTTAAGTCTCTTTATTTAATGAGTTGTGAGCCCTTTGGCTCGGTACTATGGATATCGCAATCCTTCAGCCTTGATTCCATGACAAATACGGTCACTCTGGGAGAGATATGTGGCATTTCTGCCTACCTCCGGGCGTGAACCCGGACCAAAAGGAGTTCGTCACCCGGTCACCGCGCAGCTGGTTTAAACAACTTATCTAGCGCGCTGGACTTTTTTAAGGTATAAATAGATCAAATAAAGTCATTAAAAAATAATGCTAATAACGTTAAGAAATGGTAAAACAGTGGTTTGAACTGATTTTACCACCCCACCACCCAAAGGAAAGAAATACTGTTAACGTTTTTGGATTTTGTTTTGTTTCTTTCACGCATCCATTTCATTTCAAGCATCTCTCAAGCATATATTTGAGCATCCATTGTTTCGACAACATATTTAAAACATTTTTATAAAGACACTTTTTTCCCCAGTTAGTTGACCTTACTTGTGTGTGTGTGTGTGTGTGTGTGTGTGTGCGCGTGCGTGCGTGCGTAGTTGATTTGATTTGATTCAAGAACCGACATCACAGCACTCGGGGCATTCACATAAGCGCTCAGTCCCCGTCTTTAGCAGCCAGCGAAGAGTTCCGATACTAATGGTGCCAGTAGCATTCTAATTAAAACTTGCCTTTCCTCTGAACCTCTAGCATCTGTCAGAACCCTTCATCACCCCTGCATCAATCTCACCAGACTGTGGTGATCCATCTGCTCCTCCGAACTGTACACGCTCTCCCACAAGGCACTAACCACGTCTGCCTTATCATGCGTCGGCTCTGTGGCTAAGTCGATGCGAACGCTTCGTAATGCCGGGGTGCCGGGTTCGATCCCAGCTGCGGGTCAGGCGCCTTGCGTTGGTTTCGACAGTAGTATCAAGAAGCCGACCATTCAGATGCAATGACAAACTAAAAAGTAAAGTGAAGTTCCCTTTTCACGCCTTTCGGCGCATCGGGCATATGGGCAGAGCGTCCCATATTTTTACAGACCGTCAGCACACTGTGGGTAATGTGGTCAGCATTACGCCGGCTGTCTTTACTTTCCCAGGACAGCCCATCCTGGTACCCATTTTAGGCTGGGTCGACCTGCGACGTCCCATACCACAGAAACTACACAACAGCCAGTGGCTGCTGTGGTTGGTTCTGCAACGTCCTGTAAAAGATACGCAACTAACTAACCTAACCTTATCATTCATCAGTATTTTGTAAGTGTCTCCCCCCCCCCCCCTTTCCGACAACCCCCCCCCCCCCCCCGAAACAATAAATATATTTTAGACTCTCCTATGACATACCCAGTAAGGAAGAAATGCACGACCTTCATCTGCAACAAACTCTAAAACTCCACAGTGTGTTTCCTTGTTTGTTTTTCTGTTGGTTAATCTAAACAACATTGGATACTGGATGTTCAGTCGTGCTGGAAACATAAGGAAAGAGTTTATAGTATTTTTTTTTTTTCCTATCACAAACAGTAAATGTTAGTTCTTCTTTTTCTTCATTTCTTTAGTTCCCAGTGGAACATAGGCTTTCGACCCACTCGTACAATGCGTTAAAACTCAAAACATTGTTGTCTTTTTTAGCTGAAGCTTTTGACAAGATGGGTGTTGTCAGATCCATGACCGGCCTTATTCTTAGTTACCACGTATGAAATACAGGGCCGTACCGTACTACATATAATACAGAGACTCGGCCGCATCGGGCAGCACCGTAAGGGGCGGCGTAAGCAGCAAAATCAATACATTCTTTTTTAACCTTAAGGGGCGACATTTCGAAGACTTGCATCATACAGAGAAAATCTACAACACGGCCATGGTGACATGCTTGGTAGGATGCAGTGCTTGTCTTCTTTGATCCTACTAAGTCCCTCATAAAGTTAATTACAGGCTATGATACTTTTCTAGTAAATACCCATGTGACAGCCTTTAGTTGGTAATTTTGTTCCATTTTTGATTAGTCCTGGTAATGCCTAGATCAGGCCTAGAACATTCTGCCGAGAATATTCTGGGGTACAGGGTAATAAGCAGGCTGACAGATTGGCTGCTGCTCCTCTTCTGGGCGGTGAGCTACTTTACGATTAAGCTGGCAGGACTAAGGTTATCTAGGATCAAGTGACTTGAGTTGAGTCAAGAATTGAAATCACAGCACATGTGTGCTCCATCCTCATCTTCAGCAGCCAACGCAAAGTTTATGGTACCGGTCACAATCTGATTGTAAGTTCATCTTTGCCTTTCCTCTGAGTGTAGTGGGCCGGACATACCCTATGGTAAACCCAGGTGCCTCATACTCTCCAGGCCATAATAATCTTGTTTCTCTACTGATTCCATTGCTTGTTCTCAAAGGGTCTTGACCGAATCTGTCTTGTCATGTATCAATTCACCACCCAGTGGTGCAGATCGAGTCAATCTGTATGCCTGTTCATTGCCCAACACGCCGTCATGACCTGGAGAAAAGATCCAAAGTATGCTCACTACCTGTGACCTTTCCAGTGAAGCTTGCCACTCTGCTCGAAGCATCCCTGTCTTCACCTTTCTCAGCATGCTTTCAGAGACTGTTACAATTACGACATGTGTATGCATCTTGTTCTCTAGCCACCGGAGAGCTGCAGTTACCGCCTCCACCTCCATTCTCATGATATATGTTGTGGTGTCGTATGCTAGGCCATCTTTCACTAAAGATTTTCCATTGGCTTTCGATACGAACTCCCAGGCACTTCTCTTTCCTCTCAACACCGAACCATCTGTATAGATAATCAGATCACCTGAGCATGAATTGAAGGGATCAAGTGAATAGTGCAATAGATCAGGCAGAGTATCAATACCTCAAGAGACTGATTGAGCAGGGAGTCAGCAGAGGCTCTAAACTGTTTTCAGCATAGTGAAAAATACAAGTGGGCTTTGTGATCAGGTTGCAACCAACAACATGCGTATGGACACTCTTCTCTGGCTACCGAGGAAGGACACAGGTTACGTGTAGGAATACTCCGAGTGCAATGGCGTCAATTCTTGATTCGTTTTTTTTGTTACTTCTGAAGATATACTTTTCTTAACTCCTTCTGTCTCATTCAGTTGCTCTGTTCTGTCCTCTTTGCATTTGAATTGGATTCGTTGACAATGAAATATCTAGAACAAATGGAGAAAACATTACCAAGTGTATTGTGCTGAGTCATGTCATTGTAGTATGCCTCTCCTCAGATGAGACGGTTTTAGTGACAGTCTTTCATGTGCCACTAGTTTGTGAGCTGTGGTCGACTTCTTGGTACCAGGATAAACGGCTAAATAGCTTTTACATGTGATGCCTGAAAAGTGCATTCTTGGCATTAAGAGACGGGATCACCAAAGTATTAGAAAGAGTTAGTTAGTTAGTCGACATATTCTCCTCATTGCACGTCGAACTACTCAGTCCATAAATGCTCGGATCCCCTCCTCGGTAAATCCCGCAGCGTGTAGCGGCTAATGACACCAGTTATGTGTTGGTTTATTATTATTCTTTGGCTACCCGAGTAGTGTTCTTGTTTGGCGATACCCCGTTTAACATGTTCTTCTTGCAGTCTGAACTTGGTTGCAGATTCACAGTTCTCAGTTGATTCACGCAAACGTCTTACCTCTCTTAGCGCATTCAGTATATCAGCCTGGTTCGGCTTTCACAGTAGCCTTACCTGCAGACCTATCAGCTTGCTCGTTTCCTTGTACCCCCACATATCCTGGCATGAAAATTAAACAAATCCTTGTCAGTCGTGAATTCTGTAGAACCACCAACCACTGCCTTCGGACCCAGCCCTTCTCTATCTTCCTGAGCATACTAATTGAGTCACTGAGAAAGCATGCCCCAGTGAAAGTCTGTGTCTCTAGCCATGTTACTGCTTTAGTCACAGCCATGACCTCCATAGTCAGACTACCTGTAGTTACAACTAAATGTATTGGAAAAAGTATTCCAAAAAGTATTGGAGAGAGCAGGTATCAACAGTTTTGACAATGTTTAATCACTAGTGACTGAGATGACTGTGAAGGGATAAAGGGAAAAATGATTGCAAATAGATTACGAGCAGAGCGTCTGGGAACAAGTAAGTTATAAGGCCATGGCAACTGTGAACATGAAATACCAAGCTCTAATTGTGAAAGACTTTCTTAACGCCAGCAGGCCTTGTTAGTCACACTCGCATTTGTCATGGGCTGCGATTGTGAGGCCTCCCTTAGCACAACATAGCCCTATCGACTGGAAAGACGGAAAGGTGCCAACAAAGTGTGTGAGCTAAGGAGGGGAATAAGAGCTCTGCAGCTCAGTCTCCACAGAGATACTTCATAAAAAGTGTGAAAGAAACTTTCTACATCAACTTCATTTTTTGATTCGCAAACTTTAGAGGTTGATATAATTGAGGGACTATCGACTCAAGCCCATGCTTGTATTCCAACAACTGCAGAAAACTGGATTACGAGGCATGGTGAAAGATCACAGAGCCGATGGATCAACACTAATAACACATTACGGTGATCCAGGCCCACATTTCTCAGATCAACACACCTGGTAATGAGACAGTTGCTCACAACATATCGTGGAAAGGTGCGAACCAGCAGAAGGAACAAACAACACAGTTCTTCTATAGACCCAACAAGGGATAAGATCCATCAGAGAAGACTCCAGAATGATTTTTTTTTAAAGTTAAAAATGTGCTTTATGCTGCTCAGATGTCATGATTATTTGTGTTCTGAAAGTACTTACTCAACTGGTCCAGTGCAGATGGAGGCATGATAACTGTGAATGATTGGGGAAAAAATGATAATCCGTCTTTCATCAACAAGAAAATATTTTTTTTTTTAGAGTTCAAAGTTAATCATAACACATTTCAAAATGAGTGCCTGTACAGAATAGCACTAGATATAACTTAATAACTGTCCCAATATGGGACACAATTATTCCTGTTTTTAAAGCCCTACTCCGGCTGTTGCCGGGGGGCCCTAATATAACCTAGCCTATAGGCTAAACGGGGTTTCTGGGACCTTTCCTCGGGTGATACTCATCCGAACGTTGGCACTTTGTGTCACCGGGTGTTTATTGCTCGGTGTGATGTCCCGGTAGAGTTGAACGTTTGTCAACCACAAGCAGTACAACACTAATGTTATAGAATCCCTAAATGTCGAATTTAGGGAGAGCGCTAAATAAATTACTGTGAGGAAAAGATGCTGGCTCTGTATAAGACACATACTTAGAAAACCTGTTAGCGTACAACTATTATATTCCGCAACTGGAACTGACAAGAAGAAATAAAAAGACGGAGACTTAAAAACAGATAGAAAAGAAAGATAAGATGAACAATATGGAAAAGAAGTAGAGAGATGCAAGAGATGACAAAGGGAGGGACGATTTGGTGGAAGTTGTTTACCCGCCTATGCTCCAGTTGGGGATACAAGGCAGAGGAAAAAGCAAAATATCTTCATTGTCATCAACGACTCAAACTACATTTTTTTTTAAAATAAAATTACAAATCTTGCATTTCATAATTCGGCTCTTCAAGCTGTATTTTTGTTTTGGCTCTTTAGATAATTTGTTTATTGTAAACAACTGTACAATGAGGGAGCCGTGGTGGTGTAGATGTTGGCGATCGTCTTCCGGCCCAAAGGTCCCGGAATCGAATCAGCATTGAGTCGGAGTTTTAGGGATCAAAAATGACCTTGGTTCCCAGGTCAACCCAGCCTTTAATGGATACCAGCTCAAGTCCTAGGAAATAAAAGCGTCCGGTGTAGTGTTGACCACATTACCATCGAATGCTGATTTCTCTGCAAAAATAAGAGTCTAGTATCACATGCACGATGCGCCATTGTCTTGATAATGGCTCTGTATCTTCACTGTACAATATTTTATTTAGACGTGTCTTTAACGCTTGATAAACTAAACACCGCTTCTGGCGCATAGAAAGATACCTCTGTCAACCAAAGCAAATCTCATAAGAACGTTACTTTTTGGCCGACATTGTGCTTCCAGATCGTAACAACAGAGATGAGATGTTTTATGAGAGCTGCCAGTGTGACAAGAACAGAAAATATCAAGAATAAAGAAATTTGAAGAAGAATAGGATTCAAACCACTCATACAATTCATTAAAGAACAACATTTGAGATGGTCTGGCCATCTGACGAGAATGCCCTGGCACTAACTGCCACAGAGAGCCACGCTGAAGAAATATAATAACCACAGAGCAAGGGGAGGACCACGCAAGAAGTGGAGAGACATCATCAGGAGCAACCTAACAGAAATGAACACCAACTTGTACAATGTATTGGAAAAAGTGCCCAAACGATCCTTACATCCCCCCCCCCCCCAAACACCTTGATGGGGTAAATGGTGAACGAGAAGAAGAAGAAAAAGAAGAAGAAGAAGAAGAAGAAGAAGAAGAAGAAGAAGAAGAAGAAGAAGCAGAAGAAGAAGAAAAAGAAGAAGAAGAAGAAGAAGAAGAAGAAGAAGAAGAAGAAGAAGAAGAAGAAGAAGAAGAAGAAGAAGAAGAAGAAGAAGAAGAAGAAGAAGAAGAAGAACAAGAACAAGAAGAAGAAGAAGAAGAAGAAGAAGAAGAAGAAAAAGAAGAAGAAGAAAAAATAAGATAAACTTAATAACATACAGCAAAAACGATAGTAAATCCCGAATTTTGTTTCCCGAAGTCAGTGTAATGTAGTGCATGATGTACCAGGGCAGAAATCTAGGTTCAGTGCCATAATCTTCGTCATCCCCCTTGTGGGATGCAATTTTTCGTTATTTTGAAGCCCCACCCTGGTTGTTTCCGAGGGCCGCAATATAAGCTAACCCTTGAACGCGGTTTCTGGGACCTCTCCACCGTTGATCCTCATCCGTATGATGGCACTTTGTGTCACCCGGTGATTATTTCTCTGTGGAATGTCCTGGTGGGGTAAAATTTACCTACTTACTTAGGTTCAATGCTCAGTTGTGACGAATGTAGGATATTTACCACATAGCTAGCAACAACTGAAAATAGTGATAATACAATAGTTACTTTTCCCTTTGTGTGTATAGCATTCACACAGCTAGCAATAACTGAAAATAGTGATAATACAATACACTTACTTTTCCCTTTGTGTGTATAGCATTCACACAGCTAGCAATAACTGAAAATAGTGATATTACAATTCACTTACTTTTCCCTCCTCTCTCCACATCCTCCCTGTTTCCAAGTATACTGGCACTGTAACATTTATATGTTGCTTTAAATGTCCTTCCAGCAGAGAAGTCCGAAAAGGAGTTGAAACCAAACTGAAATTAGCATTAAAAAATACATGATTTTTGTCCTTCTTTTTCTTTGCGTTCACCGGATGTAAACTCCGGTCTTGGTTGCCTGCCCACATCTGGACCTTGATCTTGTTCCAGAATTTGAGTCCTTCGTGCACATCCGTTTGATAGATGTATCTTATTTATATACAAACTGTTATTTCCTTGTTTCTTAGGCCTCAAAGTAATCACCCCTAATAAGTAGACTTTTACATATTTTTCTTTGTGGGCATAGGATCTTCCAGCGTCTCTTGGTATCTGAGTAATCTCTTGAGGCGGCGAGGGGGCGGCGGCTGAGGGCGTGGATCCTATTAAACCCTCCAGACTCCGACATCTCTGGTTATTGTATGGTCTGCTTGAATTTGCTAAACTCTAAATCATTTACAAAATGTAACCCCCCCCCCCTTTTTTTTCCCTCTTCGATCCTTAACGGCTAAAGGCACCGACATTTCCGTGTGGGTTACGGTGCTCCATTTTGGAGGGGAAAAACCCAGAGAATAGATCCACTGCCCTCTAACAACCATGTCGTAAAATGCGACTAACTAGGAGTGTTTACTTTGAAGTCTGAGCCCATATACCGGAAATACGAGGAACCAGGGGTCTGCTTACAGTTAAGGCAGATTTGTAAAACAGATATATATGCAAAACTCAAGTTCTGGAACAAGACTAAAGTCGACTAACAAACAAAACTTTCTGCTGCAATTTACAGCTGGTGAACGCGAAGAACGAGAAAAAAGAAAGGCACTGAAAGACAGCTGAAATATCAGGATTCAGCGACAGAAATAACTTTTAATAATAATTATCTGTGTATTATTTAAACACAGTACACTTATTTCAGTTTAAATTGTCATCGCTACACACTTACCATCTTACCCGGAAGTCTAAATTAACAGAAAACTGGCCTTGGGTCTCAGGTGAACCTGGCGTAGATATGTACATGGAAATTTCCTGGGAAGTAAGGGTAGCTGGTGTGATGTTGACAATATCAGCCACCAAGAGATGAGTGATCTATGAAAATATAGCCTATATTATAGGTCTAACGCTGCAGTATTAGAAACACCCGCTCTCCTAGCAGATTTGGCCGGCAAGCTGGACGGCGTCGGCCGGCTTAGTGGGAGTTCTGTCCCTTGGCCGCACTCACAACCAGTCGCGGAAAAAGTCACGAATCAAACAAGACAGTGAGGTCGACATCAGGGCTGCCAATGCTTGGTTGTGTCCCCCAGATCTGGGTTTTTCTTTTGACGCTGCGGGAAAATCATGGGGGTGTTTGTGTGTGTGTGTGGGTGTGTTGCCGATCTGTAAGCTTTAATTATAGATAAATTTGCGTGGTTAGCGGTTGGGTTAGGGTTAGCGGTAGGATTAGGGTTTGGGTTAGGGGTAGAATTACGATTAGGGGTAGCGTTAGCGTTACGGTTAGGGGTAGCGTTATGGTTACGGTTAGAGGTAGGGTTAGCGGTAGGATTAGAGTTTGGGTTAGGGGTAGGGTTAGGGGTAGGGTTAGGGTTAGGGTTAGGGGTAGGGTTAGGTTTTGCGTTAGATGTGACAATTGTGACGCCGTAGTTCCCTATAATCGCGCACAGTCGCACGCTATTGGCGTCATATTTGGCAGAGTTTCAGTGGCGCCACTCCCACAAGCATCAGATTGTCGGCCACTATTTCGACCTCCTACGTGACAATTTTCACATCTAACCATACCCCTAACCCTAACCCTACTCCTAACCCTCATCTTACGCAAACAACCAACCTACACGCAATAAGCAGCCCTACACGCAACCGTACGATGATAGGTAACCCTAGACGCAACCGTACGCAATCCTACACGCACCCGGATGATGATAGGTAAGTATGTCATTTGATTCGTGACTTTTTCCGCGACTTGTTTTGAGTTTGGCGAAGGGACATAACTCCCATAACTCTCACTAAACATGAAACACCGTGTATCCGATATGTCTTTGACTTTGACAATTTGTTAATCATTCAAAATGATCATGGCTATCGAAACGTACTTCACAAACAAATTAAAAAATATATAAAGAAAGGGAAACCTGACATGTATCATACCATAACGATGAAAGTTAGTGTATTGCGCTCTTGCTCAAACAAATTCTTGTTGGTCTAACAAGAACTCTTGGTTGTTGTGTGACGTTTGCTGGTTCACACAAAACCGCGGTTGCTACCAGGAAGTTAAGGTTAATTTAATTAGCAGTAATCTCCCCTATCTATCTATCTATCTATCTATCTATCTATCTATCTATCTATCTATCTATCTATCTATCTATCTATCTATCTATCTATCTATCTATCTATCTATCTATCTATCTATCTATCTATCTATCTATCTGTCTGTCTGTCTGTCTGTCTGTCTGTCTGTCTGTCTGTCTGTCTGTCTGTCTGTCTGTCTGTCTGTCTGTCTGTTGACTTAACATTCATAATACATCAATGTTGTCTCACAAAGCTGCCTAAAGTCAAAGGGCAAGATCGGATCACAAATACTGTGGTTCTTGATAGGGCAAACCTGCCTAGCATCCACACGATAATGAAGAATTATCAGCTGCGTATGGCTGGTAACCTAACCCAAATGCCAGACTATCGCCTCCCAAAGAGAGTATTTTATGGCGAGCCTCACCAAGGAAAGAGGTCCCAGGGAAGACAGAAAAAGCCAAATAAGAACACTCTCAAAACTGCTCTCAGTTCTTGGCATCAACACAGCGACGTGGGAGGCTGCTTCACAGAACCGTTATGGATGGCGTACATCCCTCTGCCATGGTGCATCAGCCTGCCAGGCAGCGGAGGTTGCACAGGCGAGAAACGGAAGTCTAGAAAGTAATGTATCGCTAATCCCACACCTACGGCGGCATCCACCTGTTGTCTGCACACTGCCCAAGAAATTTCCAGGCTCATATTGAACTAATCAGCCATCTTCGTACTCATATTCATTAATCATTACTACTTTGGATGAAAGGTGGTCTTCATCGCTCTTGATGGACGAACAACATTCAATACATCAATTACAATTACTGTTTGAAAGATGAGTGGAGAATAATCAATGACTGCACACTTAGTAAAGAATATATCTACATTGTTAATGATACAATGTTAGTGAGTTTGTCTAATTATTCATAGTACAATTTCTATCATAATCACAACCCAAATCAAAACAAAATGTGAAATAATACAAATTACATTTCTGTCATATAAATAATTACATGATATATGAATTTATAATAACAAACATATACTCGGAGAACCAAATTAACACTATATATCCCAATTAAAACCCAGAGGGTTAAAGAGGATATAATATAAAAAAAAAATATTACTGCTACATTTTCCAACGTACTGCGATCGAAACTCTCTGCTAGTTTTTTATCGCAGGTCGACCCAGCCTAACATGGATACCAGGATGGCTGTCCTGGGGAAGTAAAGACGGCCGGCGTAATGTTGACCACATTACCCACCTAGTGTCGATTGGTCTGTAAAAATATGGGTGCTCTTCTCATATGCCAGATGCGTCTTAATGCGTGAAAAGGGATCTTTACGTTATTTTTACGTCTACATATATCTAATGGTGCTGGTGGTAGTGGTGTGTGTGAGGGGGGGGGGATCCACTGCCTCTTTACATACATGTCGTAAAAGGCGACTAATAAATAGTTTCTGAATTCAGATATGTTAGGTCGAAAAGAAAGCCTTGCTGTAAAAGACACACCATATCCTAACTGCCTTTTTGAGATGAATAAGAATGATTGAAAACCCCGCATCTCTGTCCTGATAAAGTAGCGAGATAACCATCTTATCTGTCTACTTCTATCTGTGAGTGTTGATCAGTTCTTGTATATTTGTTTCTTGTATGTGGTTGTATTGGCGAAAGAGGAGAATACCCTGGACAAATAAAAAGAAAGGCAGAGGGAGACAGAGAGAAAATATGCTGGACAGTTGGACATCATCTCATGGAGGATTATCTGTATTATAAATGATTAAAAGTAGACGAGACAGAAGGTTGTAGATGATTACTAACTTCATGAAGAAAAGCTACGGTCTCGTGGTTTTCCCGTCTGTTTTACTACTGCCCGAACTTAGCACGGGGCTGGTGTCATAGCAACCTGTAGTTACTTAAAGAATTCTAGAGTTACTTCCCCTAATCAGTGATATATTGTTTATAGTATGGCGGCGCGTCGTCATAGCAATAGTACACTGTAGGACAAGTGATAGTAGAGATTAGAAGAAAGCATGTTATTATTTTACGCATAACATCATAAAACTACCTTATATAGTGCTCCTTTATAAATACAAAACATTTGAATAATTAAATACTTTCTTTAGAATGTCGACTTGAACTAGTAGAATGATTAGCCTCGCTATGGGCTATGGGCCTTAACTTTTCAGGTTGACTCGTCTCGTCTTGCCTTGAGCTCGAGTCTTGAGTTTTCCGCAGACAGTGCAGCTAGTTATACAGAACAGTCGAGTTTTTGGGTTGTCACTTTTTCTTTAGATAAAATATGAGCTTGCACAAACAGTGTTGAAACTTATGTTAAGAGATGTCTGGATGTATTTGATTTGTGATTCATTCCCTTCTGAGATAACAGAGGGAAAATGGACGACCCGAGGATAGAATGGCTTAGAGACCGTGTTTATGAAGCCTTAGACATCCAGGGAAACGAAGTATTCGAAGAACTGTTGGAAAGGGATGACGGAGAGTATGAACGACGTCTAGGGAAGTACTTAAATGACACACCTGAGGAGGGGGAGACAGCAATTCTTTTCTACAAAGTTGTTAGAGAGGAGGAGGAAGAAGTGGAAGTTGAATGTGGTATGTAGAATATATAATTGAGTTAAATTAGAGTTATATGTAGTTGATTAAGTGTTCTTTTGTATAAAACTAGACTGATTAAGGGCACTAGGACATCTTATCTCACAATCATTCACCATGCTATTTTGTTTTCTTCTTCTCTTTCTTATTCTTTCTTTTCTCTTTCTACTTCTTTTCTTTCTCTTGCTCATTTTGCTTATTCGTCTTCTCTATTTCTTCATCCTTTTCATTTTAGTTCAAGCAAAGCAACGATAGTTGTTAAATGTGCCCACAGCCTTCTATCTTGTGTACTGCTAACTGTAAGCGATATAAATGTTTTTCCATTCCATGCTAAACTGTCTGACTAATAACTAGTATTAATGAGATATTCTCAGAATATTACGACTCATTGCAGTTCTACAAACAGTTTTTTTAAAAATATACACCTAAACATAACCTACTAAACATACTGGAGGAAATGTCCTGGGAAATAAAGGCAGGATGTTAACAACATCACCCCTCAATTGCTGACTTTTTAAATAAAAATATGAGCAGCAAAATCAAAGTCCAGACGATGGACTTCATTGCACTGGATTCTATCCAATATGGCTGTCTCTCTCTGCCAGCGGTCTCCACACTCATGAAGTGAAAAATGCAGCCATGAAAGTAACAAACTTCAGAGCATCACACGAATGAACACAATGATCCCCAGGGGTCTCCACACTCTTAAAGTGAACAATGCAGCCATGAAAGTAACAAACTTCAGAGCATCACACAAATGAACACAACAATCCTCAGGGGTCTCCACACTCTTAAAGTGAACAATGCAGCCATGAAAGTAACAAACTTCAGGGCATCACACAAATGAACACAACAATCCCCAGTGGTCTCCACACTCTTAAAGTGAACAATGCAGCCATGAAATGAACCCAGGAACTTCAGAGCATCACACAAATGAACGCAACAATCCCCAGGGGTCTCCACACTCTTAAAGTGAACAATGCAGCCATGAAATGAACCTAGGAACTTCAGAGCATCACACAAATGAACACAACAATCCCCAGGGGTCTCCACACTCTTAAAGTGAACAATGCAGCCATGAAATGAACCTAGGAACTTCAGAGCATCACACAAATGAACACAACAATCCCCAGGGGTCTCCACACTCTTAAAGTGAACAATGCAGCCATAAAAGTAACCCACAAACTTCAGAGCATCAGGCAAACATTTTGACTACTTCACCACAGAGACCTCATGAGTCTAGAATAATATTTCTAATGTGCAAGTGGCTTTAAACCTAGTCTTTCACTTTTACTATCCTTGTAGTTCTCTAGTGTTATCTATCTCAAGCAAACCACTGGCTTCTTATTGTGGTTCATTCATTCTCATTATGTGTTGACTTATGTGCCTCCATTAAAGATCATATCTCTTGCAGTCCAGCAAATAATGTTTGATATTATAATATAATAATGCTTCACTATATGGTAATAACAAGAGGGGAAAAGGATGACAATTTGCTGGCCTCATACAAGTAGATGTAATGAAATTCAAAAGACTGGAAACATAGAAGTACTTGAAATAGAATCTAGAATACAGTCTAGAAATAAGGTAAACTCCAACCTTCAACATCTTTTTCTTAAAGTCCATGCTGTGTGTGGCGTTGGTAGTCATGTCTGTCCACAACCTTCTGGCTCATGGACTTTTGATCAACTCGGACACAGATGATCTTCCATGCCATTATGTCAAACCATCCTGCATCTGTTCTCTCTGTCTCCCTCTGCCTCTCCTCCCCTCCAACTTTCCTACCGTCACGATGTACTCCAGTTTTCTTCTTCTCATCATATAACCAAAGAATGTAGATTGTCTCTTTCTGATGTGGGCAATCAGTTCTCCTTGTATGTCAGTTTCTTTCAAAACGTCTTCATTACTCTTTTTATTTGTCCAGGGTATTCTCATCATTCGTCTCTAAAACCACATCTCCGCAGCTTCCAGTGAAGTTTTCACTAATTTACTAATTGTCCGTGATTCACATCCATATATCAGTATAGGATTTATACAGCTTTTAAGAATTCTCTTTCTTATCTCAACATATAAAATAATCAAATGCTCTGTTAAAAAAATAAAAAACAGATGACAAACAAGATTTACCTAAAAAGTAACCAGACATAGACTGTACACTAATTTGTTAACTCTTCCAGTTATAGTCCGCTCAGTGCTTCTTTATTTAAATGCTTTGTACATGATATACTTTTGAGAAAGTTCTCTGTCCCATTCTTTAGTTACTTTTATTCATTCTTTACTAGTTGTTACATTGACACATTGACCCCATACATGTGTAATCCTAACTCCTCAAAATTCGAAGATGGTTAGTCTAAAGTACAAAAATCTTTGGAGTAGGAAGTGTTATAGTTGCATGTGGTTGCATGTATAAGTTTAGTCACAAGGTTTTAATATATCCTAAGAAAAAAAAAACACATTCAATACAACTCACATTTTCAGGCCCAGAAACAGAGTGATTTCCCTTCGGATTCACGAATTGCCATGGCACAGGGCCTATCCTATAATGTGGGGGTGTCAGGCTTAGTATCCGCCTACCAACACACAGCATTTTACTAGTTATTCTCACCCACGAGCGATATCGTGTGTTGTATATTTCAGGATGTAAGTTCTTTTAATGATCGCAAAACATGCAGAACTAGGCCTAATCCCAAACCCCCTATGTCCCTCGGGAGAGTGCAGCACACCTACCACAACTGCATGTACCCTAGGCTGCACCACTGTGTGCAGCGTATATTATAGGCTGCATGCAGTCGTGGGACGTAAGCTACACCCTCTCGTGGGACATTATGGGGTTGTGGTTAGGGGCGGTTCTGCATGTTTTAGGACTGTATCACTGGCCAGTCAGTAAGCGTGACATCCCCGTAACATATGACAAGCCCTGCAACATGGCAGTTCATGAATGGTAAGGGAAGTCACTCTGTTTCTGGACCTGAAAACATGAGTTGAACCAAACATTCTGTATGCCCTAATTATAAATGAGATTACAACTGCTATAGACACACAGTTTATTAGTTTTATCTAAATTCTGCTTCAGATAAAACAAGGTAAAGTGGGTTATGAAATAGTTAACTGAAATAGTTATGAAAAAGATTTCTTTAAAAAAAAAAGGATTATTACATAAGGAGAGGCGATAGGCAACTTAGATGATGGTTATAGGTGTGGTAAGATGATGCAAATTTTAAGCATTCTCCCTAAGGATCTTAAGTACTGGACACCTGAAAGTGAAAGGCAAAAGGGTGCTGGAAGTCAAGGGTAACAAGATATCTGAAGGTCAAGAGGATACAAGGTACCTAAAGGTCAAAGGAAACATTACACTTCAAAATCAATGAGAACAGATACCCCAAAGTCAAGGAGATTGGTATTCAAGGGGTTAAAAGAAATCATACTGAGAAAATACATGTTATCAAACAAAGAAGTTTTACTTGTTAATGCCATTTCACAGAACCAGAAATCCCAGATATTGAAGCAGAAGAGGACCTTGGAGAAGGAGTTGAAGGGGATGGAAATGAAACAGCAGATGGAGATGAAGAGATTCAGGCACTGCCGACTTCAGATCCTGATGTAGATGCTGACACAGAACAAGACTCAGAATCTACAGATGTGGGCAAGAAAGGTAGGTAAATAGTCTTGTTTCCACAATAAGGGTTGACTACGGTGGATATAGGGCAGGCTAAAACTGTCTTTTGTAAAATGAAGAACATTTTATGCAATAAATCTGTGTCACTAGAGGTTAGAACAAGAATTCTTGCAAACTATATAGAGCACTGGTTTTAACATATGGTTGTGAAGCCTGAACAATTATAAACAAGCTGAAAAATATTTTGAGGCTTTGGAGATGTGGTTTTACAGAAGAATCTATAGAATTCCTTGCACAGCTAAGAAGAGTAACCCAGATTGTGAAATAGGCGAATGCTCCAAGGCAACGTATCACAAACATCAGAAAGAAACAGTCATCATTTTTTGGTCACATTATAAGAAGAGGGAAAATGATACTCTTTGTGACCACTGGAAAGATTTGTGGAAAGAGAGAGAGAGAAAGAGAGAGAGAGAAAGAGAGAGAGAGAAAGAGAGAGAGAGAGAAAGAGAGAGGAAGACAGTGCAAGAAGATTCTTGACAGCTTTTTATCATAGCATGGAGGGGTGTAAGCACACGAACTGATACACGCAGTTGCGGATCGCAGATTGTGGAGAGACTTGATCACCCACGCCAGTTGGCAAGGCACATGATGATGATAGTGATGGCAGTGGATATGACAAATGAAAACAGAGTGAAGAAATAAGAGAAATGTTTGGGCAACCACTAGTTTCAATGGTTATAAGACACAGAAGATGCTGGACACATCCTGAAACCAACAGAGAGTCACCAAACAGGCAATACAATGGGATATAAATGGATTAAGGAGGCAAGGATGCAATAAAGAAACTCCAAGAATAACATTGAGGAGAGAGGCTAAAGCTGCTGGACTGGATTCCATCCATGATATTGAACTGATCACACAGGATAGAACAGAATGGAGGAATAGACTGTGAGCCATGTCTGACATATAATGGCTTAAAAGGATAATGTATGAATGAATGAATGAATGAATGAATGAATGAATGAATGAATGAATGAATGAATGAATGAATGAATGAATGAATGAACAAACATTGAATATCCAACATGCCCTGTCTGTCGTCCTGGTTGTACCTTCTTTCTTACAACAGTTCATCAGCCACTTGATGTTCATCATCATTGTCATGTCTATAAGCATAGGCTTTCATGTTTCCCTATCTCTCACCCGATCACCAGAATCACAGATCAGGTCAAACAATTTTTTGTCTTGCCCCCATCCCTGCAGCCATACCATTCAGGTATTTATCACCTTGCCTTCCTGTTGCTCTATTTCCATTAACCTTGCCAGTTGTTACCAAGTTCTCAAGTCTTTTTCTTCTTATAACATGTCCAAAAAACTCTGACTGTCTGTGTCTATTTGTTATAATAAGTTTATGACTTTTACCTGTCTTGATGAAGACTGTTTTGTTGGTTTTTCTATCCCTCCATAATATTCTTTACATTCTTCTCAGAAACCACATCTCTGCCCAAGTAAATGTTTTTCAGATTGTTTGCTCATTGTCCATCTCTCGCATGCATATAACAACACAATTTCTTGATCATATTTGTATCGTTGTACACATTTTTCTCACTTGTCTAGAAATTTTAATTCCAGTATAGTTTAAAAATCTGTTCTTGAATTTAAAGAAAATGAAAATAATGACCACAGATAAAACTGGGTCACCCAGAAAAACAATAAATGATGAAGAAATTAAAAATGTCACAAAATTTGAATATCTAGGCTCTATTATAATTAGCAATGGAGACTGACAGAAATTAAAAGGAGGGTGGCCATAGCAAAGCAAAGAGTAAACAGCCTAAAAAGTCTATGGTTAAGCACCAGCGAGAAGATCAAAATTAGAATTTTGAGAGCATGCATCTTCCCTGTACCAACATATGGATGTGAGACTTGGACTATATCCCAGTCCTTAAGAAAGAGAATAGGGGCTTTTGAAGTGAAATGCTATAGAAAGATTCTCAGAATATCTTAGACAAAGAAGAGGAGAAATACTGATATCTTGAAAGATCTGAACATCAAGGAAGATTGGCTAATAAACAGCATCCTGTCTAATAAACAGCATCCTGTCTCGGAAGCTAAAATATTTTGTTATATCAAGCACCACAGCGGATTGGAAAAAATAATAACAGAAGGCATGGTACCAGGAAGGAGGGGCAGGGGCCGACCGACACGAAGATGGGCACATGATATAAGTGACTCCTTGAGTGTGAAAGTACATGAGGTGGGAGAGCTGGCGAGAGACTGAGTTTCTTTCAGGTGGACCGTGATGAGAGCAACATTCTGCAAAGGACCTGCTACATGATGATACTTTAAAAAAAAAGATTGAATATTGAATTGAACTCATGTACTTAATGACATGTCCGGGGAAACAGATCCATGACCTTCAGAACATGAGACAAACACCTTGATCACTTGATCGCAGAGACCTGTAGCTGCAGAGTTAGAAATCACCTCCTGGCACTGTTTTATTGACAACATCTTTATCTCCAACATTTTGACTGTCCCATATTATTGCTACACAGGGAACCACTGATATCATACAAGTGTGTCTTAAAGGACCCCTTTTCCTTGCCTTTAGGTGTGTTGGGCATATAGGGCTATATTTTATAGACCAATCGGCATTTGGTGGGTGATGTAATCAACATCACGCCGGTCGCCTTTACTTCCCAGGACTGCACCTGGTACCCACTCAAGGCCATACAAGTGTGCGGAACCATATAATCTGAGAATCATTTGCTTGAGTTGAAACATCTTCTATTCTTCTTCTTAGCATTCAGCAACTGTAATTTTCTGCAGAAAGTTCTGGTTATTCATCAAAATCTGGACTTTGATCTTGTTTTGCATGCAAACCCATTATACATGGCTTATTCGTATGGGGACTGTTGGTTGCTCACCTGTCAAGCAAATGCACTCTGACTTCAAAGGAGAAATTTGAAGTTACCCTGGTAGTCACCTGATTTTGGTGAGCTTCTGGTCACCAAAAAACACACACAATGTGTCGGAAGAAACTATTTGCATTTCAGTTGAATTTATTCAGTTTGTGCTTCATTTTATGTTGATGTAACTCTGTAGTAACGCACCTGACGAGATACAGCGAAATATGTGTGGCAATAAATGGTGCAATGTTTTGTTTGTGTCCGCATTATTTAAAGAAACACTTCTAATTAGTCGCCTTTTACAACATGCTTATTAGGGGGGCAGGGGGGTCTGTTCTTTTTGTCCCCATAATGAGGCCCTTAACTCTTTCAGTCTCAGGAGGTTTAGCATCAGAGGCTCAAGGGATAGTCAAGAGAGTCATAAAATCAGTGCATGTTGCGTTCGCACAGCTTCTAGGTAGGAACCTATGAATGCATGGTGTAATCCTTGGGACTGAAAGAGTTAAATCCACATAGGAAAAGTTAGCACACAAAAATATCTACTTTTCTAGTCAAGGTAGAAGGTACTGAGATAGCTAGCATGTTGCTATTCTAAAGGTGGTATGAGCAGGAGGGAAAAAAGTATCAATAATTGATGAGCTACTGTTGAAAAATTGATTATGGGTTGATTACAGTCAAGTATCAACTTTATTGCACTGCAGAGCTGCTATTTAGAAAATCATTCATAGTAAAAGTAAAAACTATACTTTGCTTCATTTATTTGCTCCACTATCAAACAAGCATTAGGTAATATTATTAGACAGTAAATAAATTATAGAAGGCCTGACCAGTTTTTTTTTTTTTTTATTCATTAAAAATGTTAATTATTATGTTCTCTCTCTCTCTCTCTCTCTCTCTCTCTCTCTCTCTCTCTCTCTCTCTCTCTCTCTCTCTCTCTCTCTTTCTCTCTCTCGTTTTTTTTCTCTCTCTCTCTGTGTTCCTGCCTCTTCCTCTCCCCTTGTCTCTTGTGCCTGTAGGAAAGAAAAAGAAACCAGCCAAGGATGGAGTTCCAAAAACAGAAAAGACCCCAGAACCCCCAGCTACTTCAGATGTTCCTGACCAGCCTGAAGAAAATGGAAAGGAAGAAAATGGAGAAGAAAATGAAGATGATAATCTGGAAAGCATGCCAAAGACTGTAAGTGAAAGTAGCAGTCTTGTGTGTCAGAACTATAAAATCCAGGGTAACAAGAGAAACGTTCACATCTATGTCATCATTAACATGAGCTTCACTCTGGCCATTAAATATCCTGGGAAGGAAACGTTTGCATTTAAGCTGTCGATTGGTAGCATGGCCATTGTCATTCTCTTCTTCTTCTCAGTGTCCAGCGGTTGCAAACTCTAGCAGAAAGTATTGGTTGTTCATCTACTTAAGGACTTTGGTCTTGTTCCAAAGCTTGAATTTGGTGTGCACTTCCATTTTACAGATCTAATTTATGTGTAAGCAGACTGCTGGTTCCTCACCTACCAGGTAGATACTTTGACTTTAAAGAAAACACCTCTAATTAGTCATCTCTTATGGTGGGGGGAGGGAAGGGGGAAGAGTAGGTCTGTTCTTTTTCCCCCCAAAGTGGAGCCCCACAAACCACAAGGGAGGCTATTTTCATTCCATGTAGATGTATAATGTCTTTATGCCACCAGTCCATCTTCTCTTTGGCTGCTCTCTCACTCTTACATCCATTGGTTTGTTTTTAATGTTTTTCAGTGTTGCAGCTGTGATGGTACTGCTTATGGCTTCATTGTAATGAGATAACAAAATTATTTGATCTTAACCAAATTATTTGATCTTTTGCTTCCTAATGAATTTGGGGCAAAGTACTGTTCCTACGAAAGAACTACAGGCATTGAGAGATACAGTGGATGTAGAAAGTGATAAAATGGGGCTCAGTTTGAAAAAAGGAAGATAGAAGTAATGGTGATTTCCAAGAAAAGAATAGTGCCTAAATCTATAATAAAAGTCGAAGGGGTTATTTGAGGACAAGTACAGAAATGTAAGTATCTAGGCACATGGATAAGATCCGATGGAAGATGTATCACAGAGATAGAGAACAGAATAGGTCAGATGAAAACTGACTTTTATTAAATGAGGAACATTTTGTGCAATAAATCCATGCAATTGGAGGTTATGAAGAGAATTTTGGAATGCTATTTAGAGCCAGTTTTAACATATGGCTGTGAGTCCTAGACAATTCTTAAACAAGCTGAGCAATATCTTGAAGCCTTTGAGATGTGGTTTTACAGAAGAATCCTTAGAATTTCTTGGACAGCTAAGAAGAGCAACCCAGATGTTTTGAAACAAGGGTATGTTTGAAGACAACTCATCACAAACATCAGAAAGAGACAGTCATCATTTTTTGGTTATGTTATGAGAAGAGAAAAACTAGAACATGTTGTGACCACTGGAAAGTTCTGTGGAAAAAGAGACAGAGGAAGACAGCAAGTAAAGGTTCTTGACAGCTTTTTTTTTTCATGGCACGGCAGAGTGTCAGCACATGAACTAATACATGCAGCAGTTGCCGATCGTGGATTGTGGAGAAGCATGATAGCCCACACCAGTCGACAAGGCATTTGATGATGATGATTGTTCCTGCAAGTCTGATAGTATAGTTTATCATACTCTCTTGGATATTTAAGTTTGCAGATTTCCTCAAACATCTTTCCTCACAAATGTTAATTTTACACAAGTAATCTTTGATAATGTCAGAGTCTGGTGTCAATATGCTGTTTATAATCTGTTTCTTGTTAAGAAAATCTGAAAACTAGAATGTCTTTACACTGGAACCCACAGGGGCATTGAAATAAAGGCAGACTAAAAAACACCTGGAGAAGGAAGCTAGAAAGTGAAGCTAACAAGATTGCATTTTAATGAATATATTCTCAGTAGTTAATATGTATTTCTTGTAAGAAACACATGTTCATTTTCTTTTTATAACATGGCACAATATTTTAATATGCCTGTTTTTAATTACTGAATATATTTTTATAATATTACTTGATTACTTGCTTGTTACTGGTTAACTGTGTTGACATACTACCACATGGGTCCTACCCATCTGTGCTCAGTCCTCCGATGCAGCAGCCATCTCATTGTGTCCATGCTCACAGTACCCTGCAGAAGTTGACTGGCATATCCTCTTTTTTTACCCGGTGACCGTTTTCTGTCCGCTCTTTCTCATTTAATACCTATTTCCAACAGGCGGAGGTACATCATCTCTTCTTTTTCTTGATCTAATTCTTCACATTCCCCGGCTGTAAACTCCATTGGAAAGTTCTGGCTGTTTGTCCACTTCTAAACTTTGGTCTTGTTCCAGAGGTTGAGTTTTGCATGCATATACATTTCACAGATTTGGCTTATTTGTATGCAGACTGTTTGTCCCTTGCCTCTCAGGGAGGTGCACTTTCACTTTGAAGGAAACACCTTGTACAAAATGCTTGTTGTGGGGGTGGTGGGGGGGGGGGGGGCATTTGGTCCATTTTTTTAATGTTTTATTTTCAATCTAGTATTAACAGTATTTTCTTTTTAGAACACAGATTTACCAATGATAATCAGGATCTTATTTATACATTATCCGACTTCTTCAAGTGAAATTTACTGTTTGAGTGTTGAATTATGAATCAACATCATAGCACTCGGGACACACTCATAAGTGCTCTATCCCCATCTTCTGTAGCAAGCAAAGAGTTCAAGTTTTGAGTGTGTGATGTTAAACATTTTCAATTATCTGCAAGTGTAAAAAAGCTTATGCGTTTATCTTTTCAATTTCTAGAAAATCATCATTCAGAAAGTGTGGCACACTTATCTATACATGTGCTATGAACACATGCCAGAAGAAATATCTGACACCTTGTGCATCTACTTTCTTCGCAACACAACCGGCATGGTACCTCTGCCTTCATCACTTGAAGAGGCAGAGGAGATACTCCCATCATACTTTGAGTATAGTTTACTAAATGCTCACTCGTTAGTCATGTTAGAGCAGATCATCCGAATGGTAAGTACTTTATCTCAAAAGGATTTTCCTGATTAATTAATTTCTGCTTTTTTATTCTTAAATATGAGAATAAAATTTTATTTAAAAATAAAATAAAGCATGATTTCCAAGATGTTTGTTAATTAAGATTGATAAATAAACAAAATACATATTTACTTTAAGAGAAGTTATGGAACAGTATGCAGAAGAAAAATATTATTTCAGGACACAGGATGGCCCCTTTGCAATACCCAAAGTACATCTAGTGACCATTTAGTAGTATGTACATGTGCAACAGCTCGTACAAGATGGTCGCAGCACTGTTAACATTCACCATGGAAGAGCATCAAGGTGTTATTCTATTTTTTTTGGGGGGGGGGGGGGGGGGGGGGGGGGCAAAGGGTTCAAACCTTCTGAATTTATCCAAGAATGCAGGTTAAAAACGCAGACAGTTTTTGTGTGACAGAGGAAAGTGTATGAATGGGTGGACAAATTTAAAAATGGAAGGGATAACTACGGTGATGAAAAGTGGAGTGGGAAACCTGTTAGCGTGGCAACTGAGACAGTGAAACAGCAGTTAGAGCAGTGAATTCATGGCAACAGATGAGTCACTCATGATGAAATTGATGTAAAACTGGACATGAGTCATGGTGCTGCATACAAAATTGCTCATGATGACTGCAGGTAAAGGAAAGCGTGTAGCAGATGGGTTATAAGGCAGCTGTCCGATGAACAGAAACACACTAGGCAGACAATTTGACAGGAGCATTTGGACCATCATGCCTGGAAAGGAAATGCTTTTCTCTATCGCACTGTGACAGGTGATGAGTCCTGGGTGCACCATTATGAAGCAGAGAGCAAGAGACAGTCGATGCAGTGGAAGCTCCTGCCTCACCACCATTGAAAATGTTCAAGACATAGGCTTCAGCTTGGAAGGTCATGCTAACCGTCTTTTGGAAAATCAGTATATCACCTTATTTCCAGAAAAGGGGTAAAACTGTGATTAATGCTCATTAGATTGACATGTTAGCAAACAAGTTAAAGCCTGCGACCCAATCAAAATGCCGGGGTCATAGATCTGCAGATGACAATGTAGTGATGTTGGTGGTGCGTACCTGGTTATAGGTCACACCCAAAAACTTCTACTTGGCAGGCATCCAGTCTTGTGGAATGGTGGAGTACATGTGTTGCCAGGCAGGGAGACTGTCGAGAAATATGACACAGAACAATTTTGTTACAGTCGCTTGTGAAAATCTTAGTGATGCAATTGCCTTTACTTACTGACTTCCCCTTGTATATAAGCCAACAACATAATGATTGATAAACCCCAAAATGATCAATTGAATAAATAACACAGATAATTAGATAAACCAACACTGAGTGATTGAAATACCACAATAAGATTAATAAATAAACTATCACAGAATAATAAATAAACTGAAACAGAATGACTAATAAACCCCAACAAGAATAATAGATAAACCAACAAAAAATGATTGATAAACCTCTAAAAGAATGATTGGTATACATCAGCAGGATGACTGATAAACCACAGAAAGATTGCTAGACAAACCAACACAGAATGATTAATAAACAACTTTAATATTCATATAGGCTATATACCACAACAAAGTATTGATAAACCACAATGACATTGACTGATAAACCAACACAGAAAAAACACATTTGACACAAAATGATGTATAAACCACAATACAATTGATAAATAAACCACACAGAATGATGGGTAAATCACAGTAAGATTGATGGATAAACCAACTGTGTGTGTTGATTCTGTAATGAAGTGAGTAGACATATATTGTAGATACGTCTAAGGTTGATGTATGAAGGTAACGCCTGAGTAGGCACTGTTGCGAGGTTTTTCTTCAAGACATCACAACATCTAGCTTGAGAATGGAGGTGGAGGTGGTAACTGCAGCTGTCCGGTGGCTAGAGAACAAGATGCATACACATGTCATAATTGTAACAGACTCTGAAAGCATGCTGAAAAAAGGTGAAGACAGAGATGCTTCGAGCAGAGTGGCAAGCTTCACTGCAAAGGTCATGAGTAGTGAGCATACTTTGAATCTTTTCTCCAGGCCATGCCAGCGTGGTGGGCAATGAATAGGCAGACAGATTGGCTGGATCTGCACCACTGGGTGGTGAACTGATACATGACAAGGCAGATGTGGTCAAGGCTCTTTGGGAACAAGCAACGGAATCAGTAGAGAAAGAAGATTATTATGGCTTGGAGCGAATGAGGCACCTGGGTGTAACCATAGGGTCTGGCTGGCTCACTACACTCAGAGGAAAGGCAAGACAGACATATAACCAGATTGTGACCAGTACCATCAGTATTGGAAATCTGCGCTGGCTGCTGAAGATGAAGACGGAGCACTCATGGGAATGCCCTGAGTGCTGCGATATCAGTTCTTGACTCAACTCAACTCAACTCAACAAGACCAGATGAAATGGTACATGAAGTGAGAGTCACCAGAGTCTTGAGAAGACCAGTGCAATAAATGTGAACTGCACATTAACTCAAACATCTGTTGTATTCATTCCTAGGCCACATCACATTGAGCTGACCAGTACTGACCAGCACTGACCAGTACTGGTGTTAGTTGTTTCTTTTGTAAGTCTATCACGTCTGACTTATGGATGGGTTTCTGTTGAAGCAATGTTGATGTTTTGGTAGTCTGGACTCAAGTCTGAACAATGCAGGGGCACAAGTAGATTGATTAATACTGTCAGAAAAGTATGTTGCAAAAGCGGGTGACCCAGGAATGTTTCTTTTGTGAGTCTATCACGTCTGACTTATGGATGGGTTTCTGTTGAAGCAATGTTGATGTTTTGGTAGTCTGGACTCAAGTCTGAACAATGCAGGGGCACAAGTAGATTGATTAATACTGTCAGAAAAGTATGTTGCAAAAGCGGGTGACCCAGGAATGTTTCTTTTGTGAGTCTATCACGTCTGACTTATGGATGGGTTTCTGTTGAGGCAATGTTGATGTTTTGGTAGTCTCGACTCAAGTCTGAACAATGCATGGGGCACAAGTAGATTATTACTGTCAGAAAAGAATGGTTCTGCATGGATGGTGCATTAAAAAAAATAAAAAGATTGTTTTAGAATTTATAGTAATTGAATTTAAGGGTGTTCTAACCATTAGAATTTTGTACTGGTAACACTAACAATGTTTTTGTTATCCAATAACAATTTCAGGTTTACATGCCTTTGTTGTCATATTACCAACACAAAAATGGAGGGGAGGATTTTGGTGCAGCAGTGAAAACTCCAGCTAAAATCACAAGTCGTGAGGATACAGGTTCTCCTGCTAGCAAAGTAGAGACAGGCAAACAAACAGATGCTGTAGAGTCCAGATCTAAAACTTTACTGCGGGATGAGTTTCTAATCAACATGCAAAAGTTTGCTTCAGCCATTGCCAGGACTTTGCAGCAAATTGAAGGAGAGGTGAGTGCAAAACATTAAACTTGCTTTGAACTTGTTTGTACTTTTAGAGATGTGAGTCAGAAATATGGCTACATATTCAATCTCAAATTTAATTAAGTGATAGAATTATGTCCATGGAAATGTGACTTTTTGGAAAAGCAGTTTTTCAAACTAACAATATTCAGTGCAACTCAGTCAGTCAGCATGTCACTCTCTTCCTGGCACGCCTGAAAGTCTCTCTTTCTTTAGCCAATTCTCCAGCCCTGTGTGCTTTTCTAGCCAAGGCATCTTCAGTATCTTGTATCCACCTTCACAGAGATTGGCCTCTGCACCCCACATCACCGTTCTCTCCAGACCACCATGGAACTTGAGATATCCAAAATACCTCAGTTTTTGAGAGAGGATGCTGTTTATGAGCCAGTTCCCCTTGATGTTCAGGTTATTCAGGATGTCGACGTATTTCTTCTTCTTAGTCCACAGCATTCTACAAATATTTTCTGTAGCATTTAAGTTCAAAGGCTCTCGTTTTCTTTTTTCAAAGACTCCAAGACTCAAAAATATCATTTTAACTAGCTTGCAGGTGCTATACCATAGGTTCTTCATGCTGTTTAGCTTCTGCATTGTAAAAATCATCATGTAGCAGGTCCTTTGCAGAACGTCGCTCTCATCACAGTCTGCCTGAAGGAAACTCAGTGTCTCTCCATCTTTCCCGCCTCATGTACTTTCATACTCAAGGAGTCACCTATATCTTGTGCCCATCTTCATGTTGGTCGGTCCCTGCCCCACCTTCCTGGTACCAAGCCTTTTGCTATTATTTTTTTTCCAATCCATCATGGTGCTTGATATGACCAGAATATTTAAGTTTATGAGACAGGATGCTGTTTATTAGCCAATCTTCCTTGATGTTCAGATCTTTCAAGAAGTCAGTATTTCTCCTCTTCTTTACAGTAAAAATAGAAAATACAAATACAGCATTAGTTTTAAACTAGCAGTGATATATCTGACACATCTTGTACACGTCACATTATCTGACTGACTGACTGCAGTGGAGCAAAGGCCTTTAATAAATTAAAATAAGCCATTTTATAAACTGAAGTGTTCATGCTTGGTTGTATTTTGCAGCCAAATTTTTCTGTGCCAACTATATTTAAAAAAAAAAAAATTATATATATATATATGTATACACACACACACACACACTAAAAGGTACATAAGCAAAGCAATATTTAAAACAATAATACAAAGTACATAACTGTTTAAAAAAACCATTACACGAAATATATAAAATAATTTTACAATCTGAGAACCCAGTGAACACTTTTTATCCCAGCTATAACCCTGAGAGTTGAACAGGATATTTTTGTGAAAACTACTACTACTATTACTACTCTACTTAGTTGTCTCTTACAATAGGCCTGGCATGTTACAGTGCAACTATTCTAGACATATTATGGTCTGAATAGAATGATGCAGCGGGAAGAGAGCAGCGAATCCGGGGATTTGGCCGATACTTGACACTCAGAGGAAAGGCAAGATGGATGGATCTACAATTAGGCTATTAGTGGTTATATGGAAATTGTAATACTGTGCTGGCTGCTGAATATGGGGATGCAGTGAGTATTGGAATGTCCTGCGTTCTCATCTTAAAACTAACAGAAATTATTTGAGAACCAAGGTCAAATTAAACCACGCAAAAAATTCAGCCATATGGATTTGAACTCAAGATCTTCAGGCTGGCAGGCATACGCAGACAGTGGATTGTCATTGCAAAACTCTCTTGTATGTGCCTTCATAAATGTCCCAGGGAATGCAGGTGTTGCTGGCAATGAAAGAGCCGATATAGTGGCAGGTTCTGCATTAGCTGCAGATGACAGGCCTAAGGACCACGCCAACATTGTTAATGTCCTTAGGACATTCCAAGGACTTTGGAAGCAACTGATAATCTATATCACGGTGAAGAACACGAGAATGGGAGTAAAGATTGGCACAGCCAAGCATGAGGGGCACACAAGATGCACAAGAAGTCTTGTTAGCCAGCATAAGACTGGCATTATTAACTGCGTGATACTGATGAATATGTTGAAGGGAGAATCTGAGCACCTATGAATGTGTCGGGAGTGCTGTGAGGTTAACCTCCATAACTCAGGCTGGCAGGCGAGTATCTAACCACTGTATCACTGCACTGTATGTTACTGCTGCTCCCAACAGAAAATTTTTAATTACATTTTTCATCTCCATTTTTACATGTTACAGTTTTTCATTACCTTCATTTATTAGGTTCGCCTAGAGGTCCCAGATGTAGAAATTCCAGACAGTATTGAAGAAGCATTGAAAGACGAAGCCCTGGTCGAATTCATCCATGAGAAGTGTTTAAACTGGAAGCGTCAGATGCAGGCTGCATTGGAAAATCTGCAACAAAGGAACCGCCAGGGCAATGGTCCACTAGCTGAAATTGATTACTGGAGGGAAAGAAATGCTGCCCTTAGTGCTCTGCTAGAGCAGCTCAAGATGCCCAAGGTATGACTGGATTTTCTTTGTTGATAGATTTGGCTGTATACTGCAGTGAAAACATTTAATCACATGATAAACAAATATTTCTGTATATTATTATGTCTTCTTCTTCTTCTTCACCCAAAATAGATGATCTGAATCTGCAATGTTGTCTCTAGTATGAACTTCACTGTCTCTTGTAATTCACTCAGTAACTCATAAAGTTTGGCTTGCGCCAGTGTTTCTCTTGGCCTTGATATGTTGTATTTGAGACAGTCTTGGAGGATGTGATCTGTTGTCTCAGGTGCCAATCGACATGTGCACATGGCTGATTCACCCCAATCCACTCATGCACATGGCTGATTCACCCCAATCCACTCATGCACATGGCTGATTCACCCCAATCCACTCATGCACATGGCTGATTCACCCCAATCCACTCATGCACATGGCTGATTCACCCCAATCCACTCATGCACATGGCTGATTCACCCCAATCCACTCATGCACATGGCTGATTCACCAATGTTAAATGTAAACTGGTTAGAAAATTTAGACATAAACAGTCATGGTTTTTAACCCTAGCAGACCCAAGGCCCTAAACCTAACTGCCCCCCTCCCCCCCCCCCCCCCCCTATACCTGAGCTCCTGGGCATTAGCGTGAAAAAAACAACATAATAGACAAAAATATTAGTTATATGCAAACAAGTGGTTTGAATAAGATGAAACTTGGAGACATTGTAGAAAATAGATTAACCTGTCATCTAGAACCAATATTCCATCTTTGTGTACCAATCCAGCCAGCAGGATCAGCCTTGTTTCACAAAGTGAGCACCAGATGTTGCTGTTGAGGGACACACCCCCTTCTCTCTCTATCGATATAGTTCTAGACCCATAAGGTTCAAGATTCTTCTCATCACTGGAGCTCTCACTGTCTGCATCACTTGAACTGGGAACGTATTCTTGATGAAATTCTGACTCCTCATAAATGGAATCAACCAAAGTATTGATCACCTGTTAGACTGAAAAGCCTAGACCTACTTCACTTTCCTGTTGAAGTGCTTGGTTCATAAGTTGCCATTTCATAGTGAATTTTCAGAATCTTTTCACATTAAAGCATACAAAGTAAATCCAGACAATTCGGAGAAGCCATTTGTAATGATTAACCATGAGGTTTGACAATGATTGATTGGTTATTTTTAGTTTGTGATGCATTTTTTAACGCAGTACGCAAAGTACCAAAAATTAGGTACAGCGGTTTAGTGACAGATTAGGAAATTACCGGAAAAGCGGTACAGCGGTCTTGTAGAGTTAGGACATGAGAAGGAATGGGCTCGGGAACTTTTGTGACAACTGGCAAGATTGAAAGGAAAAGAGCCAGGGGAAGGCAGAGACACTATCTATTTGGATAGCTTGGCCATATAAATGGGGGAATGGGGGGATGAAACAGAATACTGACCTGATTCAGGATGATAGTGATTTTTTTAAATGCGAAACAGGACAGCCTATACATGTCGATACAGCACATGAGAATGATAATTTTATGAATATGTTTTACCCACACAGTAGAGATATATTTGATTGCCTATTGTATTGAAACATTTTAACCACAAAGAACATTCCAGTTGTAACTTTATTTACAGGTAGCACACATGATAGACATTCACATTGCAGCAGACGGGGACTTTGAGGATCTACAGTCAGAACTTAACAAGTATTACATTGAAGCCAAAGATAATGTGCGCTTCCTGTCAACTCTGGAGAGACATTTCAAGAATGTCACTTATGGGGCCTCATTCAGGGTAGGCATTGTTCATGTTTATTTGATATTTTATTATCCTCATGTAGCAGGTCCTTTGCAGAATGTCACTCTCATCACGGTATGCCTAAAAGAAACTTGGTCTCTCGCCAGCTCTCCCGCCATGTACTTTCATACTCAAGCAATTACTTATATCCTGTTCCCATCTTCATGTTGGTGGGCCCTGGCCCCTCCTTCCTGGTACTAAGCCTTTTGCTATTACTTTTTCAAATCCGTCGTGGCGCTTTATATGACCAAAATGAAATACAACCTGAGAGTGTAATATTATGGCAGGGCAGGCCAAGCCCTTAGCTTTGATTAGTAGCTGGTCTAGGAGGGAAGCTCTGAGAGGCTGACAGAGAAAGCACTGCTTCTCTGATCTAACAGATTCTGCATTGTGCTTTATTCAAAACATATTGTTATTACCTTACTTTAGAGTTTTAAACAAGGATGCCAATCGATGGATCACACTGCCTGGGCAACAAATGGTCTCTACATATCTGCCCAGGTTTTGTGTTTTAGAGAGGAGGAACTTCATCCCTGATCTTGTCATCACCATGAGCTGTAATTCCTGTGCCTCCCTAAAGTAGACTAGACAACAATTTTATGGAAAGAGAAATATTGGAACAATTTATTAGGTGTATACTTGTTTTCAATAAGTTGCACAGAAATGATGTTCTGTAGTTAATGATTATTCCATAAAGGTATGGAGAACCCTGGAAATGTTTCTCACAGTAACTAGCTGTTATGTTACAATAACTATTTTTGTTTCCCTGATTGAATACATTTTTAATAGTAGTTCCACATATATCACACTATCCTAACATTCTACACATAGTTGCATTTACTCTCATGTGACAGAGTGTTGTAATTCTGTACCTCAGACAGTGAATGATAATTTGTTTCACACGTTCAACTCCACCAGGACAAACACCTGGTGACACAAAGTGCCACCATACAGATGAGGATCACCGGGGACAGATTCTGAAACCCGTTCAACCCTTAGAGATTATATTAGGACCCCTGGCAACAGCCGAAGTGGGGCTTTAAAATAACAAACAAATTATATCCCATGTTGGGACGGTTTTTATTCATTCATTATTTTAAACAAAATGACCCTGGTGATATATCCCATGTTGGGACGGTTTTTATTCATTCATTATTTTAAACAAAATGACCCTGGTGATATATCCCATGTTGGGACGGTTTTTATTCATTCATTATTTTAAACAAAATGACCCTGGTGATATATCCCATGTTGGGACGGTTTTTATTCATTCATTATTTTAAACAAAATGACCCTGGTGATATATCCCATGTTGGGACGGTTTTTATTCATTCATTATTTTTAACAAAATGACCCTGGTGATATATCCCATGTTGGGACGGTTTTTATTCATTCATTATTTTAAACAAAATGACCCTGGTGATATATCCCATGTTGGGACGGTTTTTATTCATTCATTATTTTTAACAAAATGACCCTGGTGATATATCCCATGTTGGGACGGTTTTTATTCATTCATTATTTTTAACAAAATGACCCTTTTCAAGGCTGACTTCTGGTGATATTGTGATTTGGTTATTTGCTGATGTAGATGCTGTATCTGTGCAGGGGTGATTTCTCCAGTTTGATGTTCTCATTCATTTTCACACATAACGTTTTATATAGCTTGTTTCCCCAAAGATAAGACATAACCTGATAATAAGCTCATAGTATACCCCTATCTAAATATAAACCTTAATTACAATCACGAGCGTGGCGGGCGGATCAGATTAATCTGTTGTTACACACCATGGATGTATTGAATTATAAAGTAATGAATATATATATATATATATATATATATATATATGTATATAACAAAACTTATGTTATTTACAATAATACTATAAACAAATGATAACATGAATTTTTATTAAGTATTTTTTTTTTAAACACACAAAATAAAATAGAAATGATAAATTACCTGAAATTAGGCCCTGTGGCATCTTTTGGAGCCAAAATTAATATAAAACCCAGTTTTATTTTGAATAAACATGGTTTTTTTGTTGTTGAATAAACATGGTAGTTAGTTGAAAGTAGTGTCCTCAAACAAGTCTTGAAATTGAATCCATTGATACAGTAATATATATTTTGGTCAGCTGACTTACAGGGCCACATATGTCCTGTGGCAGACTGAGTGGTCATTGCTAATTTTGCTATGACCGCCATATATAGAGATAAAACTTTATACGCTGTAGTCAGTAAATCGAATTTTGAAACTAGTCAGGGTGAAATACAATTCTCAGTGCTCAGCCTGTGGTTAGTGACAGATACTTTTTTCTCAGTGCTCAGCCTGTGGTTAGTGACAGATACTTTTTTCTCAGTGCTCAGCCTGTGGTTAGTGACAGATACTTTTTTCTCTGTGCTCAGCTTGTGGTTAGTGACAGATACTTTTTTCTCAGTGCTCAGCCTGTGGTTAGTGACAGATACTTTTTCCTCAGTGCTCAGCCTGTGGTTAGTGACAGATACTTTTGTCTCTGTGCTCAGCCTGTGGTTAGTGACAGATACTTTTTTCTCAGTGCTCAGCCTGTGGTTAGTGACAGATACTTTTGTCTCAGTGCTCAGCCTGTGGTTAGTGACAGATACTTTTTTCCTAGTGCTCAGCCTGTGGTTAGTGACAGATACTTTTGTCTCAGTGCTCAGCCTGTGGTTAGTGACAGATACTTTTTTCCTAGTGCTCAGCCTGTGGTTAGTGACAGATACTTTTGTCTCAGTGCTCAGCCTGTGGTTAGTGACAGATACTTTTTTCCTAGTGCTTAGCCTGTGGTTAGTGACAGATACTTTTTTCCTAGTGCTTAGCCTGTGGTTAGTGACAGATACTTTTTTCTCAGTGCTCAGCCTGAGGTAAGTGACAGATACTTTTTTCTCAGTGCTTAGCCTGTGGTTAGTGACAGATACTTTTGTCTCAGTGCTCAGCCTGTGGTTAGTGACAGATACTTTTTTCTCAGTGCTTAGCCTGTGATTAGTGACAGATACTTTTTTCTCAGTGCTTAGCCTGTGGTTAGTGACAGATACTTTTTTCTCAGTGCTCAGCCTGTGGTTAGTGACAGATACTTTTGTCTCAGTGCTTAGCCTGTGGTTAGTGACAGATACTTTTGTCTCAGTGCTCAGCCTGAGGTAAGTGACAGATACTTTTTTCTCAGTGCTTAGCCTGTGGTTAGTGACAGATACTTTTTTCTCAGTGCTCAGCCTGTGGTTAGTGACAGATACTTTTGTCTCTGTGCTTAGCCTGTGGTTAGTGACAGATTCTTTTTTCTCAGTGCTCAGCCTGTGGTTAGTGACAGATACTTTTTTCTCAGTGCTCAGCCTGTGGTTAGTGACAGATACTTTTTTCTCAGTGCTTAGCCTGTGGTTAGTGACTGATACTTTTGTCTCTGTGCTCAGCCTGTGGTTAGTGACAGATACTTTTTTCTCAGTGCTCAGCCTGAGGTAAGTGACAGATACTTTTTTCTCAGTGCTCAGCCTGAGGTAAGTGACAGATACTTTTTTCTCAGTGCTTAGCCTGAGGTTAGTGACAGATACTGTTTTCTCAGTGCTTAGCCTGTGGTTAGTGACAGATACGTTTTTTCTCAGTGCTCAGCCTGAGGTAAGTGACAGATACTTTTTTCTCAGTGCTCAGCCTGAGGTAAGTGACAGATACTTTTTTCTCAGTGCTCAGCCTGAGGTAAGTGACAGATACTTTTTTCTCAGTGCTCAGCCTGAGGTAAGTGACAGATAATTTTTTCTCAGTGCTCAGCCTGAGGTAAGTGACAGATACTTTTTTCTCAGTGCCTAGCCTGTGGTTAGTGACAGATACTTTTTCTCAGTGCTCAGCCTGTAGTTAGTGACAGATACTTGTTTCTTCCTGATAGTGCTATAGTGCAAAAAATCCCACTGCACTATTAATTTCCTCATGTTAAAAACATTATATCAGATAATGGTTGGCAGCCAGTCTCACAGTGCCTAGTGAGAAATGCTTGTTAAAGTCATTCAGTTTACCTCCAAAGCTACCATTAAATCAGTTTATGGAATCTACATAGGTTACCCTGATGGATCTATTGAAGAGATATTTGATGCATGCGGGAAATTCGGCTCAAATTATGAAACTGAAATAATTGCACTGGAAACAGCAGTATACCACCTAAAGACTAATGGATGTTATCCTTCAAAGCCCCAAAATATTGTCATCTTCACCGATTCAGTGTCTGCTCTTCAAGCTCTGGAGGGCAGTGAATGCTGCAGAACTGACATAGCTAAAATAATTCTAGATTCTGATCAGCTCATTACCTCATACGACACCAGAATAGTGATGCAGTGGATTCCAGGCAACTCCCGCACACCAGGTAATGACAGAGCTGAAAGACTGGCAAAGAAAGGAGCAACACAAGAACAACCACCTACAGCGACAACCCTACAGACAGCAAAAACACTTATAAAAGCTATAAACAGAGAGACTGGCTGAACAGATGGGCCATGGGAGATACTGGAAGAGAGGTTTATAGACACATGGCTAGCCCTGATCCTAACGACAGCATTAACCATTTAACAAGAAGGGACCAGGCCACCATCTTCAGACTTAGAACACAACACACTCCACTCAATGGACACCTAAACAGAATACAGCCACAACACTCCCCAGAGTGCCAGCTATGTAACTACCCCTACGAAACTGTTGACCATCATCTCTTTGAGTGCCCAAAACTCAACGAGACTAGAAGAATCTACTCCCTCCGAGACCAGACAAGTGGAACACTTTGTACGGAGGAAAAGAACAGCTTGTGAAAACATGTAAATTCTACTACATGGCATTGGGCCAAAGGGCGAAAACTCATGCGCAGCTGGATCAATAACAACAACAACAACAACCTATAGTTTTCAGGTCTTGTGTTCGTACACTCACCTGGGACTTATATGTATTTAGCGCCTGATTTTCAGTACAAGCTGCCTCCCTCAACTTTCAGTTTGCTTCCATACCTAGTGACCAATGGCGCTAATCAAAGCTCAAATATTAAAAAAATAATGTCACTTCTAGTCTAGTAACTCTATAGGTCAACTCCTCTGTGTTGATATGTAGTGACACTTGTAGTCTTATTATGGAGAGCCCCAACACACACTGAGCCCATTCACTTCCTTAACTTCCTCTGTGAGCTCATTGTCCACTACCAGCAGAATATATCAGGACTTACAAGATACTCAGAGACAAATAGGACAGGATGAACACAGGTCACACTTTTCTACAACAGGAATCCGTTGTTCTTAAACAGAATTTATCATCTCCTCATGTGGCTTCCCGGGCCCTATTATGGGAGAAAACAAGAACAGACCGACTGCCTACCCAAATGCATCTCGTAAGGGGCTGACTAATTGGGAGCTTCCTTCGAAGTCGGAGTGCATCTGCCTGAAAGGCAAGGAACCAACAGTCTGCATACAAATTAGTCAGATCTGTCAAACGGATGCATACAGAACACACAGGTTCTGGAACGGGACTGCAGTCCAGAGGTAGACGAACAACCAGAACTTTCCGCTGGAGTTTACAGCTGGTGAACACGAAGAAGAAGAAGAAGGATTTAATATCCGTCTAATATGCATCCAGTCTGCCCATATGCATAAAAACATAGGGAAGTGTTCAAAAATCTATCACACTACGTAACTAAACAACTATTCATAATTACCCACTTTCACAAATAGAACTGGGACACATATTCTGGTTCACTGCAAAATGTACATCAAGCTGGTCCTTCGCACACCATCGCAACACATCTCTTATGTGGCACAAACAACGCTGTTGAATCTCTGTTGGCAGATTTGTTTCTTGACACATACAGCTGACTGTACAATTCAAGGTCTTGCTCACAACAGAATCCTTGAGGGTGTTATTTTCTGATTGAATATCTCTTCTTAGCACACGTACACACACACACACATCAGGTGTTCATTTAATCTTATTTACAGCCTGACTTCATTCCTGTCTTTCCCCCCTTTCACACACACACACATCAGGTGTTCATTGAATCTTATTTACAGCCTGACTTCATTCCTGTCTTTCCCCCCTTTCACACACACACACATCAGGTGTTCATTGAATCTTATTTACAGCCTGACTTCATTCCTGTCTTTCCCCCCTTTCACACACACCTGCTAGCAACCCATGGTACTTGCTTTCGTCTGATACAGCGGTTCTCAATTTGCCGGTCGTGACCCTTTTTTGGGTCGAACAACCCTTTCACAGGGATTGCCTAAGACTATAGGAAAACACATATTCGTTGAAGTTATGAAGGAAAGTAATTGTTTGGGGGTTACCACAACATTAGAGAACTGTATAAAATGGCCGTGGCATTAGGAAGGTATAGAGCCATTGCTCTAATACATTTGTGTCCTACTTCGTGTAGGGATTTTCCGTCTGGCCAATGCAAGCCTCCTACTCATTATTCATGTTATGTTATCACAATCCACAATTTGAACATTGGGCATCCACATGCATGCTCAGTCCTCCGATGCAGCAGCCACTCCAAAGTACCTCTACTGATTGTTCCCATGAGGAGTTGGTTATAGCATCTCCTGGCTTTACCTCCAAGACGACATAGACATTCTTCACCAAGCTTAACTCCTCAGATATGCAGTCATGTTAGCACCAGAGATGTTGCCATTATCCGCCAACCTAGTCCGTACAGCGTTAAATATATCAGCTCTGTCCATACTTCTTCCAGTTTGCATTGGTGCCTTACTTGCCAGCTGGTCAGCTCTTTCATTACCATTTACTCCTGTGTGCCCAGGTGTGTCGATCCAGATGATGGAGGTTAACTGCCACTTTTGAATGCTTTCTACCCATTTGGAGAATAGACTACCAGTAACGATTTTCTAAAGCATGTTCATAGAGTCTGAAACTATTACTGCATGTGTGGTCACTTGTTCTGCTACCCATGCGAGTGCTCTGGAAGTAGCAGTTATCTCCATGATAATGCTTGATGTAGTAGTCTGGTAAGCGCCGCTGTCCTCTTTTATTGTTTCCCCCACCCTTTGGGCTGTGTATGCCATGCGGATCTTGATCCGCGTTTCATGGACCCATCTGTGTAAATGACGACGTCTTCTGGGCGTGAATGCTGATCAATCAGTGCCCTAATCTCAGCATCTACAGCGGCAGGTATCTGACTCCTGCAGTTCCTCCACATGTATGTCTGCTGGTGTATCCATCCATTCCTTTCCACGACTGACCTCGTCTTGGTCACATACTTTCTTGATTAGTTGTCCTGCCTCGGCCATCCAAGATGAGCCTTTTTTGAGATGCATCCCTTTTATATCTTTGATAGGGTTGTGCAGTGGGTGGTTGATATCTACTGATTTCCTCATGTACCCTTTCACCTGTTCCACTTTATATCTGGTTGCCAATGTAAACCCAGAACATACCGCATGGCGTGGTATGAGGTGTCTTTTGTGCAGCCGAGAATGAGTCACATGGCATCATTTTGTACCCCACTCAGTCTTTCTAGCCAGGTTCTGCTGACAGTGAGGATGCCCAGACCATTGTCTATAACACCTAATACTAGTCCCTGATAAAGCAGGAACAGTAGTCATTGTTCAGTGTCGGAGTATGCCATTACCTTCAAGACCTTTCCTGGCTCTATTATTTTTGGGTTTTTCTGTGACCTCTGGGTAATCTTTAAACCCAAATCATTACAGTTCTGATAATCGCTGCTCTTTCTTTGTTAATTTTTTATTCAGTTCATATTTTAAAATAAAGGCTGCGGTCTTGGGTTCAAACCCACATCATGGCCAATTTTTTTTCAAAATTGATCTTTTCCCCAAGGCAGTCTAGTCAAAAATGGTACAATGTAATGTCCTTGGAAGTAAAGGGGGCTAGTATGATATTGACTACATCTCTCATCGAGTGCCGAGTCTGCCAACTTATGTCAGACGCTTCACTGGTGTAAAAAGGTCCTTGACTTTTTACTTGTTTCCTTTACAATCTTTATGCAGTATGCGGTATGATCTTATAATATTCTGTTGTGAAGGTTGTCACTGAAACAATTCCATCGATGATGAATGCTCTGCGTATGGTCTGGATCATCTCACGTCACTATAACAAAGATGAAAGAATGGTGCCTTTAATGGAAAGAATTGCCTGGGAGTTAGCAGAAAGAGTTGCCAAAGTTATTAATGTGCGGGAACTATTCAGGTAACTGCCTACCTTTAGTTGTTGTTTTGCGTAACGAAAAATAGTAGACAGATAACTACCTACCTTTAGTTGTTGCTTTACGTAACGAAAAATAGTAGACTGATAACTACCTACCTTTAGTTGTTGTTTTACGTAACGAAAAATAGTAGACTGATAACTGCCTACCTTTAGTTGTTATTTTATGTAATGTAACATAATAGACAGGTAAGTGCCTAACTCTAGTTGTGGTTTTAGACAACATAAAATAGTAGACAGATAACTACCTACCTTTAGTTGTTATTTTATGTAATGTAACATAGTAGACAGGTAAGTGCCTACCTTCAGTTGTTGTTTTACATAACATAAAATAGTAGACAGATAACTGCCTACCTTTAGTTGTTATTTTTTGTCATGTAAAATAGTAGATTCAGTGTAATTTATGAAGCCAACAGAACGAATAAAAGTAAATGAAAACGAAAGGTAAATTACCCTTACCGCACATTTGATATATCAAGTATATGATGCTAGAATCATTTTTGTAAAGTTTAATTGGCACTTGAACTGTGACGTAGTCAACACCAACCTGGCCGCCTCTATTTCCTGATATCTTTTTGAGTCTGGTTCCGCCTGGTAGCAAAGGTCAGTGATTTGTTAATCAACTGTAATGTGGATTTGAAGAATAAGAAAATAACTAACAAAATCATAACTTTAAATTTATGATGTTAAATTTAAACGCTTTTTGTTTTGACAAAGTTTCATGTGTTTCATATAAAACTTTGATAAGGCCAGTTATTTTACATGGCTCTGAAACTTGGAGCATAAATAAAAGCAATGAAAGCTTATTACAGGTTTTCAAAAAAAGAGTATTATCATGAATCTTTGGACCTTTCAAAGATGTAAACAGTGGGAAATGGAGAGTGAGAAGCAACAACGAAATTCATAATCTGTTTAAATCACCATTGATCATGGCATCATGAGAGCTAATAGGTTGAAATAGCTGGGGCATATTGAGAGAATGTCAGATGACAGAGAAGTAAAAGCTGTATACACAAGGGAGCTGAACGGTTGTAGACCACGAGGCAGACCAACAAGACGATGGAAAGACATAATGTCCAGAGGGACCTGCAAACACTTGGTGTTACCAATTTGAAAGAGAAGGCCAACCAGAAAGATGAATGGAGGTGGGTGATATTTGCAACAATGAACCTTAAGGGCTGGGAATGCTGAAGAAGAAAAAGAAGAAGATTTCATGTATACTATTTTCCCTAAAGACTAGTTACTTGATCACTTTTCTACTTCCTCAACAATCGAAGCCAGCAAGATGGTTGCACAGTAGGCAGATGTGAATTTAGTAGCAGGTAGCCATCAGTCCCTGGAGACCACAGAGTTGTGCTGCTGGTTATGGAAACAGCTCTGCTAAGTAACCTCTCCAGGGCACAGGACTGGGCACGTTAAACCTTAGTACAGGCTGTTGCCCAGGCAGCAGGTACACCCCTCTCTACGTCACCAGTAATACCAAGGTAAGGACAAGTGCCAGTAAAACTTGGCATCTAAGATTGTACAGGCATTGACAGAGAAGCAGTGTAAACACTGTTGAACCCCTTTAGTTATTCCAACTCCAAATTTTTCCTTAGGGTTTACTCCCGAAGAGCTTTCCCTAAATAGGGTATTGCCACAAGACAGCTGAGGTTTTAGATCAGAGTTTTCCTTCTCCTAGATGAGCTGCACTCCTATGCTGATGAGCCTCACTCCCATGCTGATGAGCCTCACCCCCATGCTGATGAGCCTCACCCCCATGCTGATGAGTCTCACCCCCAGGCTGATGAGCCTCACCCCCAGGCTGATGAGCCTCACCCCCAGGCTGATGTGCCTCACCCCCATGCTGATGAGCCTCACCCCCATGCTGATGAGCCTCACCCCCATGCTGATGAGCCTCACCCCCATGCTGATGAGCCTCACTCCCATGCTGATGAGCCTCACCCCCATGCTGATGAGCCTCACTCCCATGCTGACGAGCCTTACCCCCATGCTGATGAGCCTCACCCCCATGCTGATGAGTCTCACTCCCATGCTGATGAGCCTTACCCCCATGCTGATGAGCCTTACCCCCATGCTGATGAGTCTCACTCCCATGCTGATGAGCCTTACCCCCATGCTGATGAGCCTTACCCCCATGCTGATGAGCCTTACCCCCATGCTGATGAGCCTTACCCCCATGCTGATGAGCCTTACCCCCATGCTGATGAGCCTTACCCCCATGCTGATGAGCCTTACCCCCATGCTGATGAGCCTTACCCCCATGCTGACGAGCCTCACCCCATGCTGATGAGCCTCACCCCCATGCTGACTAGTCTCACCTGCCTGAAGCATTTTGTCATAGTGCCAAAGGTCGCATTGACCCCTTCTCTTGTCGGTTTGAACAGCTCCACTATGAGAAGACCTGTAACAATTACTGAGATATCTGAGTGCAGTCATCATTTTTTTTAAAACAAACCAGTAATGTTGAAAATAGAAGCAACTAAACAGAACACACATAATTTCATTTCACTATCTTCCTGTCTCTCTTTTTTATCTTTTTGTGTGTGTTTTTTTTCTGTTGTACTGACCTTTCTAGCCATTGTTGTCTTTTGATTCTGTTATAGAAGTCAAGCCATTTTGAAACTGTCTACTCCACTCACTTGCTAGACTGTCAGGAATGCCTTGCCATACTGCACCTTCATTTACTGATGAATATCCTTAGGTCTCAGCCCTTTACTGATCAACAATCAGATAATAGAATGTTGCTCTTCTCTGGTGCATAGCAAAAGGGGGTGGCAATCTTTAAACTATCATTATCACCTCACTGTGTTTGTCTACACCATGATTAACACTCTTGACATCCTTAACAATAATATTTACAGATTACTATGGCATGGTTATTGTAGTTTTTGTCACACTTTTAATGTTTTTATTTAAAGACTCCTCATAGACTGCATTGTGCTGAGCTGCTCCTTCGTTCAAAAAATGGCTTAATAAAAAGAAATGTTTGGTATATTTTGCGAATCTCATCTAATAAATGATAAATTTCTCCGCAGTTTGCCAACTGATGAAGTTAAGAAAAGAACGTCTCAAGCAAAGACAATGCTGACCACATGGCGAGAAGCATACCAGGATGTCAGACAAAAAATTGAAGCATCTGGCCGAGACCAAAGATGGGAGTTTGACCGCAAGCGGTTGTTTGAAAGAACAGATTACATGGCCAACATTTGCCAGAATCTCTATGATATTGCTCAGGTTTGATTATAATTTTTCTTTTTAAATATAAACAAAGGCATTGATTTTTAAGTTTGTCTAAAAGAGGGGGAAAAGGTTAGCTGCATATTCTCTTTGATTTGATTTGATTTGATTCAAGAACTGACATCACAGCACTCGGGGCATTCCCATAAGCGCTCCGTCCCCATCTTCAGCAGCCAGCGAAGAATTCCGATACTAATGGTGCCAGTAGCTTTCTGATTAAACGTCTGTCTTGCCTTTCCTCTGAGCCTCGAGCTTCTGCCAGAACCTCTCGTTACCCCCAACTGCATCATTCTCAACAGACTGTGGTGATCCATCTGCTCCTCCGAATTGTACACGCTCTCCCACAAGGCACTAACCACGTCTGCCCTATCATGTATCAGTATTCTACCAAGCTGTGCAGAGCCAGCCAGTCTGTCTGCCTGTTCATTCCCCAACACACCGGTGTGACCCGGTGATAAAAAAATCCAGACAATACTCCTCACTCGTGTCCTCCGCAACGAAGCATGCCACTCTGCACGAAGCATACCTGTTCTGATCTTCCTCAGCATGCTTTCTGAATCAGTTACAATCACAATGTGTGTGTGTGTGTCGTGTTCTCTAGCCAGCGGAAAGCTGCAGTGACCGCCTCCACCTCCATTCTTAAGCTGGATGTTGTGGTATCATATGCTAGGCTCTCCTGCACCAAACGTCGACCATTAACTTTTGCTAAGAAGCCCCAAGCACTTCTTTTGCCTCTTGACACTGAACCGTCTGTGTAAATGATCAAATCCTCCGAGCGAGCATTATCGTGAATTAATTGCTGAATTTCCACCTCTGTGGCACCTGCTGACCAGTCTCTGCATTCCCGGCTCAGCGTGATTATGACTCTACACAAGTCTGACTGCTCAGGTGGCACTTTGACCCACTCCTCTCCTCGCCTAATGTTCTCAAGAATGCAAACCTGTTTGATTGTGTCTTCTGCATATTCTCTTCAGGACATTGTAGCACCAACCGCAGCATTTTTAGGTTGTTTGTGATTTTGCTACCAGATTGCATGCACCTGGGATCAATCCTGGCACCTTGGAATTATGAATCGAGTTCACAACACCTAAACATCTAAAGGAAAAGGATCCTTTATATATCAGTAGCACACCAGGAATATTTTTCTAAACCAACTGACACTTAATAGTGATATGGTAATCATCACACCAGCTGCCTTTACATTGCCTGGTACCCATTTTAGGTTGGGCTGACCTGGGCGCTAAGATCTGGTTTAATCAAAGACCTTCAGGTTGGCAGGCAATTATCTAGCTACAACACCACCTCGACTTTAAAGTTTGTCTATCACCTTTTCTCTATGTCTTTATTTGTCTCTGGATGTAGGTCTTTATTTGTCTCTGGATGTAGGTCTTTATTTGTCTCTGGATGTAGGTCTTTATTTGTCTCTGGATGTAGGTCTTTATTTGTCTCTGGATGTAGGTCTTTATTTGTCTCTGGATGTAGGTCTTTATTTGTCTCTGGATGTAGGTCTTTATTTGTCTCTGGATGTAGGTCTTTATTTGTCTCTGGATGTATGTCTTTATTTGTCTCTGGATGTAGGTCTTTATTTGTCTCTGGATGTAGGTCTTTATTTGTCTCTGGATGTAGGTCTTTATTTGTCTCTGGATGTAGGTCTTTATTTGTCTCTGGATGTAGGTCTTTATTTGTCTCTGGATATAGGTCTTTATTTGTCTCTGGATGTAGGTCTTTATTTGTCTCTGGATGTAGGTCTTTATTTGTCTCTGGATGTAGGTCTTTATTTGTCTCTGGATGTAGGTCTTTATTTGTCTCTGGATGTAGGTCTTTATTTGTCTCTGGATGTAGGTCTTTATTTGTCTCTGGATGTAGTAGTAGCAGTAGTAGATTTGTACCCCTCCAGGACATCACACAAGTGATAAACACCCAATAACACAAAATGCCACCATGTGGATGAGGATCAACGTGAAGAGGTCCCAGAAACCGCGTTCAGTCATTAGACCATATTTATGGTCAGGCTATATTGTGCCCCCTGGCAAGAGCCAGAGAAGGGCTTCAAATAACGAAAAATTACATCTTACATGGAGATGACTTGATTGTTAACTTTCTGGATGTCCGTCTTTTGTTCTTAAAGACTTTTGTATAATACTTCTTTTCTATTGCGTTGGGTTTGGTATGCTCAGGTAAGACCATCAGGTGAGTTGCCTCTATGCACTCGCATGTCAGTAGCAGGTCCTTTATGGTTCCCCATAGCTTGCTCTTGAGGCCAGGTGTCTTTAATTATGACATCAAAGTGTGTAATATTTTGCATTAAAGGAGTTTCTTCCCTTGTTGTATTCTCTGTTCTGTCGCAGGAATGGTCTGGGTTATACTGTGTTAATTCGTCATTATCATCATTGGTCATGTCAGCACACATAGACTGTCATATTTCACCATATCATACAATCACCAATCACAGATCGGGTCAGTGTTCTTGTCTGTCTCCATCTATATGTCTACACCATCCAGGTATTATCTCACTGCCTTTGCCTTGCACTCTGTCAAGCTTGCAAGTCACTTTCAAATTCTTGAGTCCATTCCTTCTCATAGCATTGACAACCTGTGTCTAATTTATTTAACCAATTTAGTGTTTTCTCAGACTCAAGGAAGTCTGCCTCATTTGTTTATCTGTCATTCCACGATATTCTTTGCATGTTTCTCAAAAACCACATCTCTACTGTAAGTCAAGGTTTTTTTTACTTGTCTGTGTATTGTCCATGTTTCACATGTATGTAACAAGACAGGTTCTGTGTAGTATTTTAACACTCTGTCTCACTGCAATTGACAATTGCATTGACGTTTGTCTGTTAAATACAGTGCAGAAAATCAACACACATAGAAAGTCGAATTGGTCAGTTTTGTGCTCTGTGCCAATGCCTTACCCTATAGTAACTGAGTACTGGAAAGTGTCTTTGAAAGTAAAAGTGACTGGTGTGATGTGACCACAGTGATGAAGTTCCGGTCAAAATGGACGTTAGGCAGCGGCACTGTTCAAAACAGAGGCAAATTTTTTGCCTCTGCCGGACGGTGGTCGATGCATTTTTGCTCAATTTGTAGACTGGATATAGTTTCGTCGCCCAGCTTCTGAGTTGAATGCATGGCGTGACCCTGTGAGCTGCGGATTGCATTTGGAATGTTTTTTCGATTGTGACAAACGTGTTGGTGTGAATTGTAGATTCAGAAAATGGCGCGATTCCTGTTGTGCAGTGTTGTGGTGCCCGTATGTGATTAAAATTGATCGCGTGGGCAACTGCTGATCTGTTGGCGACTTCTGCTACCATCAATGATGAACTGCAATTCTAATACTGTGATAAACATTCTGTGTGTTTTTCGTTGGCACAGGAGCGGAGCAAAGATGGGGTGACCCGTTTGCTATGAAGCTGAAACTAAGACTACCAGACTACCAGACCACAGTACCCGGCTCATGCTTGGTCTATACAATTATGGGTCTAGCAGTTTGTGCCTGAAGCCTCAGTGTTGTATAAAGGTTCAACTACCTACTGCCTTGGATGGCACCAAGCCTGATTAGTGATGGTTCATATCATTTTATTGTTATAATTATAATAATATAGTATAATATAATATATTACAGTATAATATAGTACAATATAATAAAATATAGTACAGTATAGTACAGTACAGGTTTGTATCGTATAATCCTATCAGTTAGACATAATGGAAGCGGAACTAGAGGTTGACCATGCAAGTTATGGATAGATGAAAATATTTGAGATTATATATACCAGCATCTAGATAGTAAACAAGATTCGCACCTGATGCCTGTTTAAAACCTTATGCTGAAAGGCAGAACAGCACTAGAGAAGAAGAAAAATATAATATAATATAATGTAATTTTAAAATAATACAATATAATATAATATAATATAATATAATATAATATAATATAATATAATATAATATAATATAATATAATATAATATAATATAATATAATATAATATAATATACTATAATATAAAATAATACAATACAATACAATACAATACAATACAATACAATACAATACAATACAATACAATACAATACAATACAATACAATACAATACAATACAATACAATACAATACAATACAATACAATATAATATAATATAATAATATCATATAATAGCATAATATGATGTGATATAATTATTTATGTGTCTAACAGTTCTGTTTGTCACTATAAATGTGACCTGCAGTTTCTCTAGATGTTTGCTAACTGGTCTGAAGATCTTATGTTCAATTTGGTATATATATATATACACACACACACACACAGATTTTTATCATTGACTTTGGCTTCTGGGGCAACTCAACATGAAAGGAGTAACAAAAAATGCCACTGAAAGTAAAGGCGGCTGGTTTGATATTGAGCACATCACTCCTGAAGTGTTGATTGGTCTGTAAAAAAAATGGGATTAGCAACACGTGGGTGAAGTACCAATGGTGTGAAAAAAGTGCTTAACTTTGTTGTTGTTGTTTAAAAACAGCTGTATCTGCATTTTGTTATGATATGAGAAGAAAGAAACTGGAACATTTTGTGAGCACTGGAAAAGTCTGTGGAAAAATAGACAGAGAAAGATAATGTGAGGTGATTCTTGACAAGTCTTCTGTCATGGTATGGAGTGGTGTCATCAACATGCAAACTGATACATGCTGCTGAAGATAACAAAATGGGAACAGGCATGCTCATCCATGCCAGATGGCAAGGCATTTGACAATGTTGATGATCTATCTAATTCTGGTCTACATCATTTGCTGTGGGTTTTTGTTTGGTAGGGAACTGTTTAAAAAGTTGATTGTGTATCCTTCACAGGATATTGTAGAACCAACCCTAGCATTTATTGACTACTGTTTGTGGTTTTGTTTAACAATTTTAGTAGTTTGCCTTTGCTTACTGAACAGTTGGCGCTGCATACCACTGTTGAAAGCATCACAAAGCATCACAAAGTGGTCAGCTGCCAAATCGGCTGCAGCTGAATTTAACCAGGTATTTCAGAATTACAAAGTGCATTTGCAACACTTAAGCCACAGATGCTTCCTGGTGAACTGTTCAGTTGTATCTGACACAATTTCCCATCTGCAGGTCCTTGAAGAGTTCTACAACATCTTTGGTCCTGAGCTGAAAGCTGTAACAGGTGATCCAGCTCGCATTGAAGAGGTGCTGTTGAGAGTTGACAAGTTGGTGGATCCCGTAGAGAACGTAAGAGGCCAGAGTAATTTAGTTTTCGTGTAGTAGTTTTTTGTGAATATGTATTGAATGAATAAAAACATGAAAATCTACTGCATGATCTCTCCTTGCTCTATACTTAGGAAGGCTGTCTGTGGTAGTTGTTGGAAACCATTAACTGACTACATGAATCTCTGTAAATTACCTACGATAATGGAAAACTTGCTGCATATAAACAGCCCCAGACAGCGGTGTAGCAAGGTCAAGCAGTTTATTACTATGACTAAAATCCATAGGCAGATGGATAGAGAATGTCTATGGCATCTTTGAAGTAGTTTCTCCAGTTACAAAATAGAGGAGAATAATCAGTAATTGCACACGAAGGAAACAAAATCTCCACCATGTTAATGACACAATGTTAGTGAGTTTATCTAATTATTTATAGTACAGTATCTAATTATTTATAGTACAGTATCTAATTATTTATAGTACAGTATCTAATTATTTATAGTACAGTATCTAATTATTTATAGTACAGTATCTAATTATTTATAGTACAGTATCTAATTATTTATAGTACAGTATCTAATTATTTATAGTACAGTATCTAATTATTTATAGTACAGTATCTAATTATTTATAGTACAGTATCTAATTATTTATAGTACAGTATCTAATTATTTATAGTACAGTATCTAATTATTCATAGTACAATTTCTATCATAATCACGAAAAAAATCAAAACAAAATGTGAAACAATACAAATTTCATTTTGATCATATAAATAATTATTTGGTATAAAAATTTAAAATAACAAATATATACTCTGAGAACTCAATCAACACTATATATCCCAATTATAACCCTGAGGGTTGAACAGGATAATTTTGAAAAATTACTACTACTACTTGTTGGTACCAAGGTATTTTTTTCAGAAGGCCAGACAATTGTATCAGTTGCTCTTTAACGAATTGTCTGCTTCAAATTTCTGTATAAAAATTGTATTTCTTGTTACATGGAGCAGAGACTTTTGGTCTTATTTTTCAGTCATCTTGTCCTTTCATGAATTTTTGTTTATGGCTTAAAAGATTTTAGAGGAGAGTAGTTGAAAAGAGGAATGTCATGGATGGCTCTGGCTGAAGATACTGACGATACTATCAGGCTGGAGACCCCAGATAGTCAATGCATAGGGATCAAGAATGGGTCAATTTGAGCACACACATCAGCAGTTTCCATCAGGTCATTATCACATTAGGAAGAGAATGTAGACAGTGGTGTAACAGTGTGACAGAATTAGAGGTACAACAACTGATAGATGAAAACGCTGGCCTAGTTGAGCATTAGTGTACACCATGGTTCTGTTTGTCGGGGTGTAAGATCTGGCTGGAGATTTTCAGCTAGAATGAAGGGAAAGATCATCACAGAACAAAATGGTTCCTTTTTATCTACAACTTCAAGCATGAGGATAGAGGTGGAGGCAATTACTACAGCTCTGAAGTGGATATAGTAACCAGTGGAATTATGGTGACTGATTCTCAATCAACACTGCGAAAGGTTCAAAATAGATAAATGTGGCATGAGTGGATACCAAGCATCAAAAAGTAAACATTGCAGGGAATCACATGAATATACTGTCTGGGACGTACAGAAGTGTAAGGGAATGAAAGAGCAGAATTTCTGACTACAAAAGCCACAGCTAAGGGAACACTCATACTTCAGAAAGGAAACATTCTGAAGACCATATATGAATGATGGCCATAGAAGACACAACGTTAGATAAAATAATATGTGTAAGAATGTGTGAATGAGTAATTAGATGCGGATTTGTCAAGGAGCGACAGATGAGAGGAAGACAATGACGAGTTTATAATCAGCTTGCTACGGGAACAGTTAGCATCTACACCCTAAGACAGTTGCTGCGGGAAACGGAGCACCTATAGGTATAACCGGTGTTCTATGCTGTTGATTCTAAAATCAGAAAATCATTAAGTAAAAAGTAAGTAAAGGACCCTTTTCCACGCCTTTAGGCGTATAGGGCATACAGGGCTAGACCTATATTTCATAGACCAACGGCACAAGATGGGTGATGTGGTCAGCATCACGCCAGCGGCCTCTACTTCCTGGGACTGCACCCGGTACCCACTCAAGGTGGGTCGACCTGGGAGCCGAGGTCATTTTTTAAGAAAAGTCCCGCTCCACCAGGGAGTGAACCCACGACCTTCCGATCCGTGTCGCGCGTCTAGCCGCTCTGTCACGGCGACTCAGAAAATCAGTAACCAGTAAATATCTTAAAACACTGTCAGAAATGAGGAATTTAGCCTTTTGTTTTTGCAGGATTTTAAAAAGTGCTTACGTACAACAATACAGAAACATTATTAGAATACTGTGTAGAATTTCGTGGACCAAGACAGGAAAAATAAATTGACGTTCTACATTATCTGAAAATCAAGGAGAATTGGTTCATAAACAGCATCCTTTCTTGAAAGCTGAAGTATTTTAACCATGTTAAACATCCTGGTGGCCTGGAGAGGACAGTAATGGTGGGTGCAGTTTCTGGAAGAGGAAGCAGAGGCTGACCTCCACAAATGTGGTTACAAGACAACTGAAGATGTGTTGGCTATGAAAGCACATAGGGCTGGAGAATTTGTCTTTTATGATGTAATAATTTTGTATTTGTTTGGAAGCTGATATGTTCTACTTCCTGTTTAGACTGTTTATGTCCTACCTTGATACATTATTATTAATGAATTATTAGAATTTGTCCCTGAACTTTTTGAACTTTGCCCCTATATTTTCTTTATTTTTACACATTGTATGGTTTCAGTCTGGAAAAGAATATGGTATGCTCATAATAAATCAGTAAATAATATTATCTAAAACTCACTTATCCTTTTTTTTAAAAAAGACTTGCAGATTAAATTATAATCTAGGTATCTTTGAAAAGATCACCGTCATCATCATATATCACGCTGGTAACCATAGACTGTCATATTCTGAAATCTCACATGATCACCAAGATCATGGATCAGGCCAGTGTTTTATCTCACCCTACCCCTGTGGTTGAGCCATCCAGTATTTATCTCTTTGCCTTCCTCTTGTTCTTTTTCCTTCACTTTTGCCAGTTGTTACCAAGTTCTTGAGTCCATTCCCTCCTTTAACATGTCCGTAAAAAATTAGCTGTCTACGTCTAATTGTTGAAATCAGTTTATGACTTTCATACATCTTAAGGAGTTCCATCTGATTTGTTTTTCTATCATTCCATGTTATTCTTTGCATTCTTCTAAAACAAAATCTTTATAAAGATGTTGCATGTAAAATATATAGCTATTCTTCTTACCAATCTTTATAAAAGGTTCAGTGATGTAAGTATAATTAGAACACATTCCAGCATTTGTAATTAAGACTTAGATGTTGTGAACATTTTTTAAAATTATTATCAGCTATGACATGAGGTATGAATGAGTAACTGTAAGCAAAGATTGGACTGAAAGGGCAGAATGTTAGACGGGCCTGCGTGTTTAATTCTTAATCCTTGGAAAATAAAGTTTGTTTGTTTGTTCTCCTCCTTCTTCCTCCTCTGCACCCTACTCCTAATTCTCCTCTTCTTCTTTCCATTTTCAATCAGAAAAGGAATTTGATAAGTATTTGCTTGTATTTTTCTTTTTCTTACAGGTTTTTGATGCCTTCTCACAAAAAGATGCCTCGATAAGTATGTGCTTGTACTTTTATTTTCTTCTTGCAGCTGTCTTTTGATGCCTTCTCACAAAAAGAGGCCCACCTTTGGAAAAGACTCATGACCAATTTCTATAAAGAGGTTGCTGAGATTGAAAATGAAGCAAAGACATTCATAGATGAATCCTTCCAGTCTCTCAGATCGGCTGAGGGCGCCTTCGATATGCTTCTGAACTTCAAACATTTGAGGTCACGGGAGGCTATAAATAATCAGATGATGCAAAAGTTCAAGGATATTCTGGTGCAGTATGGAAAAGAGGTTATTTATTTTGTGTGCATACGTGTATTGTTGCTAAAATAGTGAACTCTTTTAGTCCTAAGATACATGGGATGTCAGTGGGTCCTAATTTTTTCCATTAACTTATCCATCAGTGTCTCGTAGCTGATGGTGCAAGTTCTGTGTTGATTGACAAGACCTCTCAGTTTACTGTCACACATCTTGTGTGTGGCTGTGCCAGTCTTAAACACCCAAATCTCACATCCTTAATAGTAATGAAGACACACTGCTTAAAAAATCCTCCAGTCAATGTCAGTTTGATCTATAGGTTGGTTATTTGCTAATTTAGCCAAACCACCCAGTCTATCAGCACTTTCTTTGCCAAAACAACTTACCCGGGACAAAGATGAAGGTGATTCCACAAACAGCGGACCTTATGTTCATCAAGAATTCCAGCCATCTTGTAATGTGCCTTCTATGTCTTTACTTGTGATCTGAACATACTAAAGAAATCCACTTTCTCAGTGGCTTTTTGCGTTCTTAATTTTGCTTCTTTGAAGTTCTAGTGCTCTCAGTTGTTCATAGCTGCATAATTCCGTATTTTGATATTAAAATAGTCAGTCAGAATTTGACTTGTTAATTCTGACCTTGTTGAAGGGGTGATGTGATTATCTATACAGATGGCTTTGTTTTGAGAGGCAGACGAAGTGCATGGCGGTTCATAGCAAAAGTGAATGGATTTCGCTTAGTGCAGCAAAGCCTGGCATATGATATCACAATGTCTAGTTTGGGAATTGAAGTGGAGGCAATCAGCGGTGCCTTCCGCTGGCTTGAGAATCAGCTGTACACACATGTTGTAATTGTAACTGACTCACTGATCATGCTGAGAAAGGTGGAGACAGGCAAGCTGCATGCAGAATGGCAAGCATCGCTTCAGAGGTCCCGTGTAGTTGGCGTCCTTCGTATACTTTCTCTGGGTTATGCCAGTGTGTTGGGAAATAAGCAGTCAGATAGACTGGCTGATTCTGCATTACTTGGTGGTGAACTGATAATGACAAGCTTGATGTTGTGAGGGCCCTTTGAGAGGAAATGAACAGTAAGGAGGCACACGTAGATCATTATGGTCTGAGGATATTGGCGCTGCAAGAAGTGACCAGAGGATCTGGCCAACACTCAACACTCAGGGGAAAGTCGAGACGAATATACAATCAGACAGTTCCTAGTACCATCAGAATTGGAACTCTTCACTTGCTGTTGAAGACTGAGATAGAGTGCTTATTGTGGTGTCCCGAGTGCTATGATTTTGATTCTTAATTCAACATTGAAAGGTAAAGTAAAGATTAAAACATTGTTCTGAATATAAAAACATAAAAAGGAACAGAACTAAAAGAAAGTGGGGGGAGGGGGGGGGGGGAGGAATATGTCACAAATCATCATCATCTTCATCGTGTGCCTTCCTGATAAGCATTGGTAATTGATAACCATCTGGTACCAACACCAGAATCGTGGATCAGGTCAGGGCTATTGTCTTACCACATCCATATGTCAGGCTATCCAGGTATGTATCTCTTTTCCTTTGCTTTGTTCTTTTCTTATCAAGTCACCAAGTTCTTGAATCAGTTTCTTAATTCTGAATACCTTATGTGTATAATTACCTGGCCATATCAATGCAGAGGTTAAACAGCAACATAGCTAACAAGTACAGTTTAAAATGTTAGGAACTTGTTCTTTTCTAGGACAAGATACATGTCAGAAGCATGGACAATTTTGAAAACACTAACAGACTTATACTAACACTAACTTGACTTTTGTGTGTGTGAATGCTGTGTTTCCTAGGTGGATACCATGGACCAGTTGTTCAATGAGCTGAAGGACAATCCTCCGCTGTACAAGGGCTACCCACCAACAGCTGGCTCCATCTTCTGGAACCGGAGCTTATTTCATCGCATCAAGCACACCATCATCCGATTCCAGACTTTGGATGAGATGGTAGCTTCAGACATGGGCAAATCGGTGAGAAGAATGTTAAGAGAAAGCATTTTTAAGAAGGAAAATTATGATCAGAACTGTTGCATGTTTAACTCTTTGAGTCCAAAGCAGGAACGCATCATACGTTCATAGGTTCCTACCTAGAGACCCAATAAATGCAAGATGAGCCGATTTTACATCTCTTTTGACTACCCTTTAGGCCTCTGCTGCTAAACCCCTTGGGACTCAAAGAGTTAACGTAATTTAAAAATTTGGCTGTGAATATACAAAATTTAAATTAAAACTAAAACCAGAGGATTTGTGATATATGTGTGTGTGTGTGTGTGTGCAAGTGTGCGTGCCAGTTTATACATAATCTCTCTCTTCTCCTCACCCTGCTCTCTATATCTCTCTCTCTCCTCACCCTGCTCTCTATATCTCTCTCTCTCCTCACCCTGCTCTCTATATCTCTCTCTCTCCTCACCCTGCTCTCTATATCTCTCTCTCTCCTCACCCTGCTCTCTATATCTCTCTCTCTCCTCACCCTGCTCTCTATATCTCTCTTCTCCTCACCCTGCTCTCTATATCTCTCTCTCTCCTCACCCTGCTCTCTATATCTCTATCTCTCCTCACCCTGCTCTCTATATCTCTCTCTCCTCACCCTGCTCTCTATATCTCTCTCTCCTCATCCTGCTCTCTATATCTCTCTCTCTCCTCACCCTGCTCTCTATATCTCTCTCTCTCCTCACCCTGCTCTCTATATCTCTATCTCTCCTCACCCTGCTCTCTATATATCTCTCTCTCTCCTCACCCTGCTCTCTATATCTCTATCTCTCCTCACCCTGCTCTCTATATCTCTCTCTCTCCTCACCCTGCTCTCTATATCTCTCTCTCTCTCCTTCTCTATGGCATTCTCTGTGTCTTTCTTTGCATCTGTCTCCCTCTCAATATACACACACACACGCATTTGCACGCATGCACACACACGCACACACACACACACACCCAGCTGCACACACCCACCCATGCACACACGCATGCACGCACGCACGTAGGCAATGCATGCACGCATGCACTTACACTTACACACACACTTCCACTTCCATGTATTCATGCATACACAGTGTGTGTAACAAAAATACCCAGCTTCAGTTGTTCCTATGGAGACAGAGGAAGTGATCTCTGGTTGGAAGGGTGTAGGGGTCCTTCATGTGATTGTTTGTTCATGGGCATCAGTTTCTGGCAATCTGCCGGTGGTTGAGTAAATCTAGTGAGCACTAGTTTCTGGCTATCTGCCGGTGGTTGAGTTAATCTAGTGAGCACTAGTTTCTGGCAATCTGCCGGTGGTTGAGTTAATCTAGTGAGCACTAGTTTCTGGCAATCTGCCGGTGGTTGAGTTAATCTAGTGAGCACTAGTTTCTGGCAATCTGCCGGTGGTTGAGTTAATCTAGTGAGCACTAGTTTCTGGCAATCTGCCGGTGGTTGAGTTAATCTAGTGAGCACTAGTTTCTGGCAATCTGCCGGTGGTTGAGTTAATCTAGTGAGCACTAGTTTCTGGCAATCTGCCGGTGGTTGAGTTAATTTAGTGAGCACTAGTTTCTGGCAATCTGCCGGTGGTTGAGTTAATCTAGTGGGCATCAGTTTCTGGCAATCTGCCGGTGGTTGAGTAAATCTAGTGAGCACTAGTTTCTGGCTATCTGCCGGTGGTTGAGTTAATCTAGTGAGCACTAGTTTCTGGCAATCTGCCGGTGGTTGAGTTAATCTAGTGAGCACTAGTTTCTGGCAATCTGCCGGTGGTTGAGTTAATCTAGTGAGCACTAGTTTCTGGCAATCTGCCGGTGGTTGAGTTAATCTAGTGAGCACTAGTTTTTCTGGCTATCTGCCGGTGGTTGAGTTAATCTAGTGAGCACTAGTTTCTGGCAATCTGCCGGTGGTTGAGTTAATCTAGTGAGCACTAGTTTCTGGCTATCTGCCGGTGGTTGAGTTAATCTAGTGAGCACTAGTTTCTGGCAATCTGCCGGTGGTTGAGTTAATCTAGTGAGCACTAGTTTCTGGCAATCTGCCGGTGGTTGAGTTAATCTAGTGAGCACTAGTTTCTGGCAATCTGCCGGTGGTTGAGTTAATCTAGTGAGCACTAGTTTCTGGCAATCTGCCGGTGGTTGAGTTAATCTAGTGAGCACTAGTTTCTGGCAATCTGCCGGTGGTTGAGTTAATCTAGTGGGCATCAGTTTCTGGCAATCTGCCGGTGGTTGAGTAAATCTAGTGAGCACTAGTTTCTGGCTATCTGCCGGTGGTTGAGTTAATCTAGTGAGCACTAGTTTCTGGCAATCTGCCGGTGGTTGAGTTAATCTAGTGAGCACTAGTTTCTGGCAATCTGCCGGTGGTTGAGTTAATCTAGTGAGCACTAGTTTCTGGCAATCTGCCGGTGGTTGAGTTAATCTAGTGAGCACTAGTTTCTGGCTATCTGCCGGTGGTTGAGTTAATCTAGTGAGCACTAGTTTCTGGCAATCTGCCGGTGGTTGAGTTAATCTAGTGAGCACTAGTTTCTGGCAATCTGTCGGTGGTTGAGTTAATCTAGTGAGCACTAGTTTCTGGCTATCTGCCGGTGGTTGAGTTAATCTAGTGAGCACTAGTTTCTGGCTATCTGCCGGTAGTTGAGTTAATCTAGTGAGCACTAGTTTCTGGCAATCTGCCGGTGGTTGAGTTAATCTAGTGAGCACTAGTTTCTGGCTATCTGCTGGTGGTTGAGTTAATCTAGTGAGCACTAGTTTCTGGCAATCTGCCGGTGGTTGAGTTAATCTAGTGAGCACTAGTTTCTGGCAATCTGCCGGTGGTTGAGTTAATCTAGTGAGCACTAGTTATCATTTATCTATATAATGAGAAAATACCTTTAGCGGTAATATTGCATCACAATATTGCTGATACCCAAGTGGAATTCATTTAGACGATTCAACAGGGGAACTATAATTAGGCTAAACAGAAGTGGCCCTGCAATGCAAACAATTCAACACCAGTACGGACAGAATTTGGGATTGGGCTGATATCATCAACTCTTTACGGACTTGTGAATGCCCAATGTGCAATGAAGTCAGTTATGATAACATAACGCAATCAGCAAAGACTTCTATAGATCCTGAAAATAGCTGCATAAATATGGATTGCTGAAAAAGAAGAATATCAGCAATAGCAACAAAGTCATTGATCTAGTGCAGACTTTGGGTTATGCAGAACATGTGCGTCATTACCCAAAACGTTTTTGACAACATAGATTTAGGTCATTGATTCGATACATTCCATTTTGATAGAGGATTTAGTTTTGTGGACAGTGTTCATGAAATTTTCTCAAAATCTGTTAATGAGGAAACAGGGATGAAATAGAAATAGTTCATTAAGCCACGGTGTTAAACCAAAGAAGATTAACAGCTCAGTAGTAGAGAGCTTATGTAACAACCAGGTTGGACTTTAAAAAAAGATCAGAAGAAAAATATTTATAAGATGTAAAAGGCTATCATTCAGAATTCTAACTTCATTACATATGGGTCACCTCATATAGGTTGTGTGGGGTTTCCATAGTGTAGTGGTTACCACATCCGCCTAATACACGAAATGTCTTGGGTTCAAGCTCCAGCGGAAACATTTATCATTTGTACAATTGCTTTGTGAAAGATGGGTGATTGAAAGGGCCGAAAGTAAGATGGGTCTGTGTGCCCAATCTGTGACCCTTTGAAAATGAACTTTGTTCGTTCATTCGTTTTATTCCTGTGCCAGTGATAACCACACAAAATACCCATCACTGCCTGATAATAGTTCCAGCAAACTCCAAAAGCTTGCACACACATCAGATGCATAAAACAGCCACCAGAGTTGCCAACACTAACAGTCTCCATCACAATAGTTCCAACTCACAGTTGATGGAAGCAGCAGTCATGACGAATCAGCATATGCACATGCATAAATGTATAAGGCACACCACCAATTATGTGGCGACCAGACCCTCTCTAATTTCCAGATATTCTGTCTATAGCACACATCTCCAGGAATATAGACAATAAGCATTGAATTAGTTGCGCTCTATTACATTATAATCATGGCACTGTTGCCCAGGTACTGAGATGAGTGTTGGTTTGGCACTGAGCAATGGATGTCTTGTGAAATGCTTTCATTTGTGCTTACAGGGGTTTGTGTTATGATTGCATGTTTAGAAAATGGCAGGTGGTTGAGTTGCATCTGAAATGGAGTTGTGCTTTATGCGATATTGTGTGTGCAGTTGCTAGTTTGTTGTGATTCTGTTGATGCTGAGCTGCCGTTCTAGTGGCAGACTGTTGGTGTTGGCACATTTAATAACTGCCTGATGCATTTGCTGGGGGCACAAGTTGCTGGAATGTGTCAGTATAATAATAAATAATGCAATTATTATATGACATTAAATTTAAAATCAAAAGTTAAGGAATTTGTCAGAAATGATCTGTGTCACTAGTTTTCAAATTGGATACTAATGAGCATTTTGTATGACTTTACTTGGCACAGAAACAAAGCACTTATGGAGTGACACATTTGTCATGAATTTGCAATCGTGGCTAAGAGCTAATTTCACTCAAGCTAAAACTGTGTTGTTAAAGCATATTTCTGAGGCCTCATTAGAGTATAATTGTGCTTATCATCATCATCAGTTCTTTTTATGCCTAGTTGCACATGAGGCTTCAGAGAGGACTTTCCATGCTTACCTGTCCTGTGCAATCTTCAGTGCAGTTTTCCATGTCAGAGATGCTGCATTCAGGTAACTCTCCATCATTAGTCTCCATGTTGATTTGGGCGCCTCTTCTTTCTCTTTCCCTCTGGTATGCATGTGAGAGCTGTTTTAGAAGGTATATCAGGATTCATTCTCATAACATGGCCAAGCCATTTCCATCTTCTCTTGGTTATCATATATAATTGAGCTTATAGTTATCTTTAAGTATAAATACTTGACCACAGCATTGTGTAAAGATATAGGACGTTCCAATTAAAAAGTCACAGTAAAAGTTTTTAAATAACCGCATACCGTGTCATGAGAGTTGTGTAATTCATAATGTAGAAATATTAGGTCACTGTGGAGGGATTTCTACAACATCCTATATTTGTCTTAGTTTGTGGTGATAATTATGACTGTTTCACATATGCATCTTTGACTACTCCAAAAATTTTAGTCATCCCCATGTGGGATGCAATTTTTCGTTATTTGAAGCTCCACCCTGGTTTTTGCCGGGGGCCCTAAATATAGCCAGGCCATGAATATGGCCTAACAACTGAACGGAGTTTCTGGGACCTCTCCACAGGTGATTCTCATCTGCATGGTGGCACTTTGTGTCACTGGTTGTTTATCGCTCAGTGTGATGTCCTAGTGAGGTACAACTTATATACATACTTTCATACATACATATGCATCTACAGACTAAAGCCAAATACTTGTCTGTTGGAAGAAATATGAGAGCCTATGAGGAACTGAAATATGAGCAGTGGAAAGAAAACGTGGAGGCTGTCCTTCCTGGGCTTCTCAAGAGAAACTTACTTGTCAAACAATCATACCAGATCGCAACACCCACTCCAACTCAACATTCAGCAACAGGAAGTGGGGACAAGGAAGAAGAAAGACACTCTGCAGCAGAGATTCAAGGTGGGATTTCCTCATCTTTCTACTGTCACTACTTCTGTTTTGTCATCCTGATTGTCTTCATTGTTCATCATTCCTTCTTCATTTAAACATTATCCATAAGGGCTCCGATCTCCTCCTGAGTATGTCTCCAAGTTTTTTTAGGTTAACAACTCCCATTCTGTTTTGGCTGATGTAAGGTCAGGTGGCTCGCGCATGGTTTTCCTGTCTCTTTGCTCTAGTTGATACATTCCCAGTATGCAGTCTATTCAGTGAAGAATCATTGTTTACAAAATTGACAACCTCACAGCGTTTACTCTCTCTTGATGATGTCTCTCCTGTCCATAGATGAACCAATCTTGATAATCGCACTGTCCATAGATGACCCAATCTAGATAGTTGCACTGTCCATAGATGACCCAATCTTGATGATCGCACTGTCCATAGATGACCCATTCTTGATAATCGCACTGTCCATAGATGACCCAATCTTGATGATCCCATTGTCCATAGATGACCCAATCTAGATAGTTGCACTGTCCATAGATGACCCAATCTTGATGATCGCACTGTCCATAGATGACTCAATCTTGATGATCGCATTGTCCATAGATGACCCATTCTTGATGATCACACTGTCCATAGATGACCCATTCTTGATAATCGCACTGTCCATAGATGACCCAATCTAGATAGTTGCACTGTCCATAGATGACCCAATCTAGATAGTTGCACTGTCCATAGATGACCCAATCTTGATGATCGCATTGTCCATAGATGACCCATTCTTGATAATCGCACTGTCAATAGATGACCCAATCTAGATAGTTGCACTGTCCATAGATGACCCAATCTTGATGATCGCACTGTCCATAGATGACCCATTCTTGATAATCTCACTGTCCATAGATGACCCATTCTTGATGATCGCACTGTTCATAGATGACCCATTCTTGATAATCACACTGTCCATAGATGACCCATTCTTGATAATTGCACTGTCCATAGATGACCCAATCTAGATAGTTGCACTGTCCATAGATGACCCAATCTAGATAGTTGCACTGTCCATAGATGACCCAATCTAGATAGTTGCACTGTCCATAGATGACCCAATCTTGATGATTGCACTGTCCATAAATGACCCAATCTAGATAGTTGCACTGTCTATAGATGACCCAATCTTGATAATCGCACTGTCCATAGATGACCCAATCTAGATAGTTGCACTGTCCATAGATGACCCAATCTAGATAGTTGCACTGTCCATAGATGACCCAATCTTGATGATCGCATTGTCCATAGATGACCCATTCTTGATAATCGCACTGTCCATAGATGACCCATTCTTGATAATCGCACTGTCCATAGATGACCCAATCTAGATAGTTGCACTGTACATAGATGACCCAATCTTGATGAAGGCACTGTTCATAGATGACCCATTCTTGATGATCGCACTGTCCATAGATGACCCATTCTTGATGATCGCACTGTCCATAGATGACCCATTCTTGATAATCGCACTGTCCATAGATGACCCAATCTAGATAGTTGCACTGTCCATAGATGACCCAATCTTGATGATCACACTGTCCATAGATGACCCATTCTTGATAATCGCACTGTCCATAGATGACCCAATCTTGATGATCCCATTGTCCATAGATGACCCAATCTAGATAGTTGCACTGTCCATAGATGACCCAATCTTGATGATCGCACTGTCCATAGATGACCCAATCTAGATAGTTGCACTGTCCATAGATGACCCAATCTTGATGATCGCACTGTCCATAGATGACCCATTCTTGATAATCGCACTGTCCATAGATGACCCATTCTTGATAATCGCACTGTCCATAGATGCCTCAATCTAGATAGTTGCACTGTCCATAGATGACCCATTCTTGATGATCGCACTGTCCATAGATGACCCATTCTTGATGATCGCACTGTCCATAGATGACCCATTCTTGATGATCGCACTGTCCATTGATGACCCATTCTTGATGATCGCACTGTCCATAGATGACCCAATCTTGATGATCGCACTGTCCATAGATGACCCATTCTTGATAATCGCATTGTCCATAGATGACCCAATCTTGATAATCGCACTGTCCATAGATGACCCAATCTTGATAATCGCACTGTCCATAGATGACCCATTCTTGATAATCGCACTGTCCATAGATGATCCATTCTTGATAATCGCACTGTCCATAGATGACCCAATCTTGATAATCGCACTGACGGCCAGAGCATCCGCTCACTAATTACCAACATGCCCTGGGATAAAAATGAAAGTGATTTTGCAAAAACTGAATTCTGAATCAAATGCATCCGCTGTTTCTGTATATACCTTGTCTTGATCTTCTGTAGCATGCTCATGAGTCACTGAGCCAGCATACTTTGGGGAATTCCTGAGTTTTTTTAAGTCTTTCTAGGGTCCTTGTTACAGTCCTGACCTCCATCATCATCATGCTGCTGGTGGGAGAGTCAAAGGCTTTATTGACCTCTTTTGTGGCTTTTTCTCTGTTCTTGCCATGAAAGCCCATGCACTTCATTTTTGACGACTCACAAAACCATCTATGTATAAAAGAGCATCTTTCGGTGATGTGTGCTCCTCCACTAATGCCTTCACTTCTGAATCAACTATTGGTGGCACGAAATCACAGCACTGTCTTGTCAGTGTAATGGCTACCACAAAGTACTGCTTGTATTGATTATGTGAATTCATTCCTCCCCACAATTTATGCCTTGAAGGGAAATCACCTTATTGTCTGCAACATTTACTAAATTATGCCTGCCAGCTACTGTGTCTAATTAACATTGCTAACTATTCAGGTCTCACATTCATTTGACAATGTAGGTTCTGTTTAGCACTTCAAGTCAATTTTTTTCTCACTGAAGTTGTTATCTTTTCTTTTGCAACTATGTTTTAGGTTTTCTCATATTTATTGCTTGCATGGATTTTTATCATGGTATGGGGCGTCGCAGATCGACCCTGCCTAAAATGGGTACCAGGATGGCTGTCCTGGGAAAGTAAAGACGGCCTAATGCTGACCACATTACCCATCCAGTGCTGATTGGTCTGTAAAAATATAGGACGCTCTTTCCAAATACCCAATGCGCCTAAGGCGTGAAAAGGGATCTTTACTTACTTTACTTTTATATCTATTGCTTGAAAATCTGCTTTTATGTCTGTCTGCTATTATATCATTTCATTGTCTATATATCTGCTGTTGAGTTGAGTCAAGAATTGACATCCCAGCACTCAGGGCATTCCCATGCATGCTCCGTTCTCATCTTCAGCAGCCAGTGCAAAGTTCCAGTACTGATTATACCAGTACATATCTGCTGTTACAGACTGTTACTGACTACTGTTTTGTCATCTTGATTGTCTGCTGTATCTACTATTATGTCTGTCATTAACAATGTCTTCTGTTTTGTCATCTCCATTCTTTAGACTTCTGCTATTATGTCTGTCACAATGTCTTCTGTTTTGTCATCTTCATTGTCTGCACATCTGCCATTGTGTATGTCAGCAACTGTTACTTTCTGCTTTTTTGTCATCTTCATTGTCTGAACATATGCCATTGTGTATGTCAGCAACTGTTACTTTCTGCTTTTGTTTCATCTTCATTGTCTGAACATCTGCCATTGTGTATGTCAGCAACTGTTACTTTCTGCTTTTGTGTCATCTTCATTGTCTGAACATCTGCCATTGTGTATGTCAGCAACTGTTACTTTCTGCTTTTGTGTCATCTTCATTGTCTGAACATCTGCCATTGTGTATGTCAGCAACTGTTTCTTTCTGCTTTTTTGTCATCTTCATTGTCTGAACATCTGCCATTGTGTATGTCAGCAACTGTTTCTTTCTGCTTTTTTGTCATCTTCATTGTCTGAACATATGCCATTGTGTATGTCAGCAACTGTTTCTTTCTGCTTTTTTGTCATCTTCATTGTCTGAACATCTGCCATTGTGTATGTCAGCAACTGTTACTTTCTGCTTTTTATTTTTGTCATCTTTATTGTCTAAACATCTGCCATTGTATGAAAGAGTAATTTTTTTTATAGATTATCATGATATAATATAGGTAATATACTCCACACGTGGGTTCCCATGGGTTCCTGGGCCTCATTATGGGAGGGGTTTGTGGGGGGGGGGGGGGGGGAGTAGACCCACCTCCTCTTAACAATCATGTTGTAAATGATACTAGTTAAGGGTTTGCTGAAATGAGATATGCTATGCCAAATGGCACGTATATTTCAGCCAAGCTGTAAACCACAACCCTGTGTGCTAATGGCCTTTTTAAGCATGAATGCACAAGCAAAAGAAGGTAATTTTACTTTTACTACCCTATGACTATCTGATGACTGATATCTGTCTTTCTGTTACATGTAGGAACGGTGAAGGAAAGCAGAGCTCCAACAGACATAGCACTCCAGGGTAAATTTTTATTTACTTTTTCTTCTTTTGTGTTTTAACTGTTCCATTTATTTTTAAATAATGAGAACACGGACAGTATGGTGCACAATTGATTGCCTGGCATATTATTGTATGTCTCATCAAATTCATTACCTTCCTGTTTACCATTTACATCACATGGGGCTCGCAGTTTATTCTTCCATTCTGTTGTATCCTGCACTTAACTCTTTGAGTCCCAAGGAACGCATCATACTTTCATAGGTTACTGCCTAGAAGCCCAATGAATGCATGATGCGCTCTTTTGACTATCCCTTGGGCCTGTGATGCTAAACCCTCTGGGACTCAAAGAGTTAAGAAGATCCAAACTGGCAAACTCAGACTAGAATGGGTTGACAGCATACAGAAGTCACCACCTCAACAAAGTATCTTGGCTGTACACACAGGGACATGATGGTGTGATAGGAAATGAAAGAGGACAGAGTATGAGCGAGTCGGACCAATGTGCTAGGATTCTGATATGGACAAGTAAAGCTTCTATGTGCATTGTTTCTGTTAAAAAGAAAGTAACGGACCCTTTTCCACGCCTTTAGGTGTATAGGGCATATAGGGCCAGACCTATATTTTTATAGACCAATCAGCACGAGATGGGTGATGTGGTCAGTATCACGCCGGCCGCCTTTACTTCCTAGGACTGTACCCGGTACCCACGCAAGGCTAGGTCAACCTGGGAGCCTAGATCATTTTTTTTAAAGTCCGGCTGCGCCAGGGAGCCATCCCACAACCTTCAGATCCGTGACGAGCATCTAACCGCTACACCTGTTTAGTTATTTTGGACTTTGTCACCTTTAGGAAAACTATTTCTATAATAAAGTGCCATTTCTCTCAGTAACATCATCACTGCCCAGGTCGACCCTGTGGGTAAACATGACTACCAAAGCCACATGGCATGGAGGATCATCTGTGTCAGAGTTGATTATAGTACACAAAACAGAAGGTTGTGGGTAAACATGACTACCAACGTCACATGGCATGGAGGGTCATCTGTGTCAGAGTTTATTAAAAATACACAAGACAGAAGGTTGTGGGTAGACAAGACTACCAACGCCAGACGTCAAGAAAGATCATCTGTGTCAGAGTTGGTTAAAAGTACATGAGACAGAAGTTTGTGTGTAGACATGACTACCAACACCACATGGCATGGAGGATCATCTGTGTCAGAGTTGATTGAAAGTACACAAGACAGAAGGTTGTGGGTAGACATGACTACCAAAGCCACATGACATGGACTTTAAGAAGAAGAACCACTACACCAGCTATGTATAACCTGCAGTCATATGCAGGGAAAAATACTTTAGTTGATATAAGTTAACTCTTTAAGTACCAAGGGATTGAAGCATCAGTGGAACAAAGGGGAGGGGGTGATGACATATTTAAACTGAGCAGGTCACAGCCACTGCACTATCCTCTTCAAATCTTGATGATCTATCCCCTCTTCTGCATTGTCCAGTTGCTCCCAAAGGGGCTTCAGCACATTTACCTCGTATCTATCAGCTCACCACCAAGGGGAGCAGTACCATCCCGTCTGGCAGGTTATTTCTCATCACACCAGCATGCTCTGAAGAAAAGATACAGATGATGCTGAAACAGTGCTTGCCACTCTGTACAAAACAAGTCTGGCATAACAATAAACACACTAGAGTGAACATGAAAGGTTGAGGATTATTATTAAGATACTGCAACAAGCACAATTATCACCAGAGCTATGGAGTGTATGTCCTGCACTCAATTTCATCTTCATCTGTTTATGAAGAGAGGTTGAAAAGAAGAAGACAAAGAAATGAAGGCATATAGATTGGAGGGCAGGAGTCAAAAGAGTCAAATGAAAATCTGAAATTCAAGTGTATAAGATTTGGTTGCTGAAATTATTGCAGTGCCACACAGTCTCACTGGGGATTGACTGTTTAAATTTATCCAGTATTGACGCTTATGTATTTTTTTCATAACAAAATAAAATTTTACAAATGCGGAGATGCCTGCTCCACACTTCATCCCTGGTCTGCAGGACCATAATATATTTAAAGCCACATTAATCACTGGCATCATTAATGCTACTTACATCGCCCCAATTTGGGGTGCACATTTTTGTTACTTTAACGCCCCACTCCGGCTGTAGTCGGGGGCCCTAGTATAACCTAACGGTTGAAGGGGGTTCTAGGACTTGTGCCCGGGTGATCCTCATCTGAATTGTGGCACTTTGTTTCAATGTGTGTTGGTCACTTGCTGTACAGTCCTGGTGGGTTTAAACAACATACAGCATACATACTGGCATATGGAGGATAACAGACTGTAGTGATGACATAGGGCTTTAAGGGGATAATGACAGCAAGGGGCTTATAGGAGAGACAAGAACTGCATATGCAAAAGAGCTGACTGGGAGTAAAACACCAGGCAGACTAAGAAGACAGTGGACAGATAACGTATTGGCAGACCTACAAGCACTTGGAGTTACCAAGTGGAAAGAGATGGCAAATCAGAGAGATTCATGGAGGCAGGTGATATCCACAGCAATGAACCTCAAAAGCTGGGAATGCTTAAGAATAAAACATACAAGAAGAATAGTATCAGAATTGGAAAACTGCACCAGATGCTGAAGGGGCAAAGAGCTTATGTAAATGTTTTAGTGCTGTGATTTTGATTAACTCAACAACATGCAGAAACCAGCCTCCATAGGGGTGGATACAGGACATGGAAGATGCGTTGGTTAGGAAAGCACACAGGGCTGGAGAACTGGCTAGAGAAAGAGAGACTCTCTGGTGAGCCACAAAATGAGCGACATTCTTTAAAGTACATGTTGATTGACTGAGTTAATTATCAACAAACAAATGTGTGTTATGCGGCGTCCGTGGCTTAGGTGTTGCGAGTCCGACTCGTAATCCAACGTACCGCGATCGAAACCCACTGCTGGCTGCGTGGATTTTTATCATGGTATGGGGCGTCGCAGGTCGACCCAGCCTAAAATGGGTACCAGGATGGCTGTCCTGGGGAAGTAAAGATGGCCGGCTTAATGCTGACCACATTACCCATCCAGTGCTGATTAGTAATAAGTAAAGTAAAGTTCCCTTTTCACGCCTTTCGGCGCATCGGGCATATGGGCAGAGCGTCCCATATTTTTACAGACCATCAGCTGTAAAAATATGGGACGCTCTTTCCATATGCCCGATACGCCTAAGGCACGAAAAGGGATCTTACTTACTTAATGTGTGACATAAATTCTAAATTCTGATTCCTGTATTAAATTTTTCATGTTCTTATGGCAGTTATGAGCACACAATCAAGGTATGTGGTAGACTTTGACTTGAGGCTGGCTGAAATTATCGTAGAAACCAAATACATGGAGTCCCTGGGATATGTTGTCCCTGAACTGGCTAGAAACGTGGCCTTACAGGTAAATGAATATGTGTGTGTTTCTGTTTAATTATAATTTTTTTTAGAAAATGAGAAAAGCATTACAGTGTATTTAATTACTATCACCAAACACTGGTAGAATACTGGTTTTAATTGCATGCATTTGTGCAAATAGTTTATTGGTACTAGTTATTTGTGTCTATGAAAGGGAAACACTTTTTCTAGAAGTGTCTATGAAAATGAAATACTGGTTCTAGTTATAAATGTGAAGGTAAAAAGGGCAAAAGTTCTAGTAATATGTGTCAGTAGAAGATACCAATCTTTTTTTTTGGGGGGGGGGGGGGGGGGGGGGGGGGGGGGGACTATGAAAGTGAGACACTGCTTACCGCTATTTGTGTCAATGAAGATGGGACATTGCTTCTGGTTATAGGTGTTTATGAAAGGGAAACATGGGTTCTAGTTGTATGCAGGGTTTCTTTCTAGGAAAAAAGTACATGTACTCACTAAGCAGTGTCTTTTACACTAGCTCTGAAAACAAATGCCTGAAAAAGGTGTCAGTACTTTGTACTGTTGCATACTGTCAGAAAAAAAAAATCTATGGTTATATGTAAATTTGAAATTGGAACAATAATTTCTGCTGATTGACAACTCTGTAGTCTCTGTATGCTGTCCTGGCATTCTGGCAGATCATCATTATCATCAAGTTCCTAGGTGTTTATGCAACTCCACAGAGCTTGGTCTTTGGTGTTCTGGATCAATTCCACTAATGATATTTCTTCTTGACACTGTCTTAAGCCATCCATCATTATTTCTCTTGGTCTGCCTCTGCCTCTTCTACCAGTGATCTTTCCAGTCATTATGATATTCTCCAGTGCTCCTTTTCCCATAACATGACCAAAGAACTTTGTCTCCTTCTCATTGTTGAAAATAATGTTTCACTTTCATTAGCCATTCCCAGGCAGGCATTGTTAGTTACTCTGGCAGTCCAAGGTATTTGCAACATTCTTCTCAAGAAGCCTCTATACTGTTCTTAATTTGTATTCTGGCAGATACTCATGTCATATTCATTTATGAGAATAAAGATATTTAATGTTAAGAGATGAATGAACGGTAGTCTCATATAGTGAATATAGAGAGTGAGAGATAGAGTGTGTGGAAAACCTAAGGCAATCATCTTTCTTTGTGGAGATGGCAACTGATTCTTTGAAAGATGAATGTTCTTATTGGTAGCATAAAATTACCTTTCTTATTCTTCTATGTTTATTCTTAAAAGAATGGTTGGCACTTTGTTTTGTGGTTTACAGCAAGGCCATAGTATTTTCACTTTTTGGCCCACCACATCTGATTTCAGCAAATCCCCCACCCCTTTCCCGAATAGTAGGTTTTTATGACATCTCTTGTTGTGTTGGTGTCTGTGGCTTAGATGTTGTGAACGCATTTCATAATTCCAGGGTGCCAGGTTCGATCTCAGCTGTGGGTGATTTGGCAGCAGACTGCCTTGCATTGGCTTTGACTGTGGTGTCCAACCATGCAGAAAGCAATAGCACCAAATTAGTTTAAATTGCCTGCTAAAATCGCAAACAGCCAAAAATACTGGCGTTGGTTCTGCAGCATTC